AAATGATAAATTATTGATGGCTGAATATCATTTAGCTGCCTCAGTTTTGGGTCACTGTTGCACTGTCATTGCTTACTGGGACTCTTGAAAGTAATGTCATCATTAATCTTATTAGCAACATCTGTGCTTTCTTACTGTGACAATTCAAAATATCTGCTGTGAAAAAAGCCTGTTGGCCAAATCTAAGGATATATACAGATAAAGGTGTGTATGTGACTGAGTGTGGTGTGCATGCATGCAAGGCTAATCGTCTTGCAAAGAGGTATAACATGTGCTTCCATGCAAAGTACTAAGTGGTACAAATTTATATACGGTATGAGGTAGTTTAGCTTTTCATTATCATCCATGTGTGCCTCAAGATTTGTTAGCTGATTGTTATTTACATTTGAATCATGTCTGATTTAAATGTTATGGGCTTGTGAATGGGATTATTTAGTTTTTAATGATGTTAGCTCCTTTTTATCTTCAGCAGTTTTCTTGGTTTGTCCAGATGAGCATCATTAAAGGGATACTTTGCTGATTTTCAACCAGCTTTGTATCAAAACAGTGTAGGAAGTATGTGTAAATGAACTATGGTAAACTTCCTTCCATCTAACCAGTGCCTAACTATCCCTCCTGGCCCCCCAGTGAAACTCTGCCAAATGACACAATTTACATCATGCAGCGGAGTTTTGCTGACAGCCAGCAAAACTCCGCTGGATTGCTTGAACTACAGGCTATACTTCCACATTTTCATATTGCCCACCACCCATGCTGCCACTGCAGACACAGAGTATAGAAGCAGATCAAGAGACTCTCTCTCGCCCTCTCTCAAACCAGAAATCTGATCAGACGGTAAAACTAGGCAGTGCTGATCAAATATATATCAAGATTATATTACTGCATTGCCTTTAGTTTAGTTTAGTTGATTTATAAAGGGACAGTGTGCAATGACATTAATCATTTACAAGAAATTAAAACATGGTTGCACCGGATTTAGCAAAACACTAATTTCCATCTGTAGTCCTACACGTAACAAGTAGACACAACAAATAAAAATAAAATTCAAGGTGCACATGCCTAAAATGTTTTAGAAACATATTTTCGTGCCGTGTTTAGCTGTAATAGCGAGAGTTTTTAAAGAAGAGGCCACCATACTGTTTCCTGCACAGTGAAAACAGAGGCCTAAAAACGTAGATCAAATGGTAAAACTAGGAAGCGCTAATCAATATACCAAGTTTCTGTGACCGAGTTGCATATTTCTAGCCTTAAATGTTTTAAGAAACATGTTTTAGCTTACCATTTAACTGTAATACAGGATCGTTTCTTGCCAGCTGGCCACCGTCGTTTAAAACGGACAAGTTCGCATTACGTCACCCACCAACTGGAGCGACTATTGGTCTGGTGCGGCACAGTACATTCTGGTAGTTGTAGGTTTTCTACCTCTTGAGCAGAAGTGTCCCTTTTCTATGTTTTCTTTGGTTCTGTAGCATTTACACTTAAAGTATTTGCATTTTTCTACTGCACGGACATCCTAGTTTATTAAAAGGTCATCTTTCCAGTGGTGACGTACCTCTTTAACTACGTTTACATGCACACTATTATTCTGAAGATGACAACATTCTGAATTTCATTCTGGTCATGTAATTAACGTATTTCATTTGGATATTCTGAATTTCGCCTTTTTCTGAATGAAGCATTTTCAGATAAAGACATGGGATATGCTGGCATTATTCAGGTTTTAGGAGCCTTCTTTGGACATGTACACAGTACAGTCAGAATATGCATCTCAACTGGGGGGATTTTAAACACAGTTTGTGACACTTTACCTCTTACCTGTAGATGGTCAGCTCTGTGCGTTGTCATCAATGCACTGTACACAAACAAACTAGCTAACAGTTTGCAAGGCTGGGGTAGAGATATGAATGAATGAGAAACACAACTACTTTTAAACATGATGTGATGAAACATGATGTGATGAAAGAGTTGGACAGTTTCTTTAAAATGTGCAAATATCGCAACACCGATGGCTGAAGGAATGAAAGAGGGAGACTGTATTTGCACAGTCGAACAAACCCGCCACTACTCTTTTGATGCAAAGAAGCAAAACAGCAAGTTGCTCCAGCTGACCCACTTTTCTACATTTTATGTGATAAACCACATGTGAGGGAATGTTAATCTGAGTATGAAAGGCTGCATGTAAACGGGAATATTAGTGATATAGCCTTGGCCGTGTAAACAGCTTAGTAGAAACACTGTCTTTTTCGGAGTAAGGGTAAAAACAGAGATATTTTGTGTATGTTAAGGTAGTCAGTTTCTACTTCCAGTATGACTGTCTTTGTCACCTGCCTTCTCTAACTGCATCCACTAACTGATTAATCGATCACTGGTCCAGCTTTGACACAAATCCAGCTGTAAATCAGTCATTATGTGAGAGAGAACATTCATACACAACCTACCTCAAGCAACAGTCACTTTAAAAGCAAGCAGCAACTATCTCCTTAGCTGCACAGTCTCGTGGTGCCGACTGGCTCAATGTGCCACATCAGCTGTTCATATGACATTTGCAAATGCCTGGAAGAACCACAACAACTACATTAATCACCAATCTGTTGTCTGCTACATTGCAATGTTGCAGTAATGTACTGTAGGTAAGTTGTCCTTCAGTATCAGAACATAGCGTACTTGCCAAGAAAAGCATGTTAGCTCTAAACATTTGCAACTAAAATATCTACAGGTAAATATATGTTTTTACTGTGAGGGTTTTTACATACCCACACTGCAACATATATAGCGTGAGTACATGCAACAGTAATAGAATATGAGAGCACGGTTTCTTCAGCTTTGGCCGGAGTCTCACAGCTGTTATGCAAAGTGGTTTTGCATGCTCACTGTAAACACTGATGGCAAAAATACATTTCATCATGTATAGAGTAAACAATCCTAACTACACATTTAATTTAGGTAGGGTGAGGGACCATCACGTACTGTAGAGCATACCCAATGTATTCATCTGAGCAAGCACTTTTTCTTAAAGGCATGACACATACTGTATATGTGATGTTAGAAGGTGATATAACCAAAGCTTTTGACCATAATCAGAATGGCTTTTTACTTTATTGTCAATATTAAATTAAAACTATTTTGGTGTTTGAAGATTTATTAGGGTTGAATTCTGGATGGACTATGGCTTGTATTGGGTGAATATACTGAAATCGCAATCTGCTGTGGTATGGCTTGACAGAAAGACCAGTGTATCAAGACTGGGGGTGCTTTCAGACCTAGAGTTGTCTTGCTTTGGTCCGAATCAGGGACTAATTTTGTTACAAAGTTGCGCAATTGCCAAAGTTGGTTTGTGTTCTCACGGCAGCATTTACAAGTGGAACAGATAAAATGCCTTGCACGAGAACACTGCTCTTGATTGGTGAGAATTTTCAAGAGAGAAAAATCCAAGAAGTAAACAAAACGTTGAAGAAGAGTACATTTGCAAGATAAATGTGACACTTTCTAATGTCACAATGACGGAACAACTTTGCAGGCTGATGTTAGCGCTGATCATCGTGGAAGACATTGCTTGCATTGCTCATTTCAAGCAAACCATACAGTTTGAAAAGGAGGCGCGGCTCTGACTAGAAAACGATATTTTGATGCGCTGGATGAGCCGAATGTGTATATTAAGGCAGTACAGGAGGGGGCGCACATTAATAATCCTCCAGGACTGTCACATGTTGTAACAATGTCTTGATAAAGTAATCAAAAGGCATTGCAGAGGTGAATTTTATGTGTAGGAATTTTACTTTGTTTTCTACGAGCAAACAAATACACCCACTAAGTAGCTGAAATCAATTTAACTATCTTGATTCCACACTCCTTTTCTGCACAAGCAATTTAATCACGTCCCCTCAGTTGGGGGTCTTGACTAGCCTTAAAATAAAATCCTGAGTCCTCTTTGAGAGTCCAGTCTAGTCCGAGACAAGACCAAGACCTTCAAGTGGTCTCCAGAATAAGATTAACCTTGAGTACTTCAACACTGGCTCATACAAAAAATTAATTAAAAAAATCAACACATTTTTACTGTTTTACAAACAGTTTTTCATAAAATAGCTACATCCTAATGGATGGCAGCGTATTGTACATTATCTTTGGATATGTATAAAAGCTCCAATTATATATACTTTTGTTTTTGTTCTCCTGTAAAATTAGGAAAATGTCACTTATGCCCTGTTTGCTCTAGACCCTTGATATACTTGTCTTCATGTGGTTTACAAAAGGTGGGATGGTGGGTGGCCATTTGGTCAAAGATTCAGAGCCCTCATAGAGCATTCCTTAAATCTGGTGGATACTTGGTCACTTACATAACTCCCACGTAGTTACATCTCATTACTTCCAACAAACGGCCAATTCATATAGCCAGAGGTTCCTGTCCCCCAGAATGTGCGCTGAATACCTGCAGTGTTATGCTATGTATTCCAGCTGAATCATGATTCTCAGACCAGGGCTTTATTCAATCAGAGCTGTGTCTAGGTGTGAGCAATGTCTGGTATAAGTCAAGTTACGTTCAGCAGACAGTGGAATAACTGTCATCAGCCATGCAAAGCTGAAACATGCAGACTGTTTTTGTGTTACAGTACATGAAAGAACACAAAACATGTCCTAGCATGTGTTGTGTTCAGTTTGAGCAAAACAACAATTTCAGTATGCTCACTAAACTCTGACAACATTTCATGTTAGATTACACACAAAAAGTTGCAGCAGTTATGTGTTGACCAAATAAATGTACATGCTAAATTTATAGAAACATTACAGGAAGATGTAAGAGCAGAAAAATAGAATACAAGAGAGTATTTGATGGTATTTGATGCACTAATCTGTTTTTACAAATGCCACTCTTTTTGGAAGTCCAATACAAATATTTTCCATGGTGGTTGAGAGAGTGGGACCACTAGGCGTGGAGGAAGAGGGGGGGTCCTTAAGTAGGAGCAGACTTTATCACTCTCCTCCTTTCTAGTGGTGGTCCTTTCTCTCACCTCTTTCCTCCCAGATCACATCCAGCGAGTCTGTGTGAGCTTTTCCAGTCAGATGGAGGGAGCAACACAAAGACAGAGATAGAGACAAGAACTAAGTCATTATTCTGGTAAGTTCTTTTTTTTCATTAGCCTGATTTATCAGAGGTGTAACTGCAGTCATTTGAATGATTGGATTCAAATCTGTCACATTGGTGTCTGTTTGCATTCCTTTAAATTAAATTGCCTTTATGGTGCAGAGCTGATTTATTCTCAGGGTTTAACAAGTGCATTTGTGGGAAAAGGCCATGTTGTATAATACTATGTTTTAGTTGATAAAAAGACCTTAAACAGTAAACTGCACAAGTTGCATTGAGTGGTGAACATAATTTGTCATTTTTAGTGTGCACACATAATGTGGCATGGTTATACCTGCTATCATTAACCTTTAACTATCTTTTTTTTTCCCTCTATCAGAATGAATACTGGGCTGGTATGATCATTTATCATTTTTAAGTAAAGAGTAGCTACTAACTCAGTTATACTGCAGCCAATTAAGAAGTTAATTCATGCCCTCCAGTGCAACATTTGAAAATTGGCTTCCTGCGCAGCAAAGCATCCTAATGTGTTTACATGCTGCACGATTTATTTGATTTTCTGCAGATTTAAAGCCAAGGCTGGACATATTTCTTTTAGCGGTTTTATGAGTTGTGGGTGCAGCGGATTATGTAACCTTCTGTGTATAGTGAAAGACGTACAGTGTCCCACAGTTCTATACAGTAACGCTCTGTTACCTCTCTGCATAGTCTCTCCAGTAGACTCTCCCGCTCGAGTCACCTTCTTCCTTCCTGTCCAAAATCAGCTAATTTAGATTTTACTTAGTTTGGCAAGTCATTGAATTAATGGTTATGTCTGATTCCAACAGTGCTGCAATTCTTCAACTTCTATTTGTTTTTTCTTCACTTTTAAAAGTGCATCACTAGGCACAGTTTTGAAAAAAGTAGTATCAGTTTTCTGACAGTTTTAATATGTCAGCTCAGTATTTTTTTTTTTTCATGATGTTTCTAATGTCTTGTACTGGTGCTCAGGGAAAACTGGTAAAAGTATGTGTAGTAAGATTCAAAACTGTATCTTAGAAAGATTTTGATATGCTTTTATGCATTTGACCACTGTGAATGATTTGGCTCAGTGAACCTTCTCAAATGTCAGATCACAGCCTATAACTTTTAATGAACCTGTGACCAGAAATTTCGACAACATGACAATCTACCAAGACTGAAAGGTTTATAAAATAAGTTTCTCAAACTGAATGGAAGAAGCAAGTAATAAAATCTCTTGATTGAGCCATTGCTGTCAGGTCATTTGAGCGAAGTACAAAACCTGATATTGCTCCAAATGTAGTGTCCTAATAGCCTGTAGAAGGTTGTTCAAGTGAGTATCAAAGTCTTAATGGGAACGGTGCGAATGTGAAGCTGACTAAAAAAGAGCAAGTATGCTCAGCAAAACCTTTCTTGGAATTAGAAAATGTATTTAGCATTAAAATGTCATGCATTAAACTCAGTTATAACTCAGCTCTTTCATTTTTGTTTTCATTTCTAGGAGAAACCTGGCATACTCTCCTTAACAAGTGGTCAAAGAAATATAGAGGAAGGAGTTCATAATTTTACAGTAACATACATACAGATCGACCAAAGGCAATACCATCTCTGGCTACTGCTGCTGGCTCAAAATGCTGTTTACTCTAGGGCTTCTCCTCCTTCTCACCCCATTTCCCTCCTTTCAATCCCCGACCAATGAGAGGAGAAACTCCACAGGAAGCGATGTGACCAGACCCACTGCCGTTCTCACCCTGTCGAAACCAAAAACCACTGCTGCTCTCGCCAAACAGACCATTCGCCCAACCCCAAAGCCAAACACAGTTAATCAGACAGTTTCATCCACTCCTGCCACAGCAGCAGTAAAGGCCTCTACAGTCACTGAGGTGAAGGCTACCAAAGACAAGCCTGCCCCCACTGTAGTTCAAAACGTTCAGTCAACAGCCCCAAAGTCTGCTCCCGCCAATGGAGCTAAAACCACCAAAAACAAGCCCACAGCCTCCGTCAATCAGACTGTTGTAACTAAATCTCCCTCCACCAAAGACAAGCCTGCCCCCACAGTGGTTCATACTGCCCTGTCGACATCAGCAAAGGCCAATCAGAGTGCCGTAATCAAAACTCCCGCCACTACCACCACCACCACCAGAGAAAAGCCTGCCGCTGTTCAGCCACTCAAGGTGGTCATAAGCGATGGCTGCGACTCAAACAACGCCAAGGAGCAGGAAGTGAAGCTGAAGCCTGGCGCTCCTCTGGTGATGACGCATAAGATCAGCTTGTTGCCTGGTGGCTGCACCGGGGGATGTGAGGCCGAGATGGCTACGCTGAAAGGTCGTGTGGCCCGACTGGAAAGAGAGATGTCTGCCCTCAAAGACAAATGTATGATTCTGTCATATTCACTAGAATATTATCTTTGACACCACTCATTAAAGATGTGGATTTAGTAATTTTGGTTATTTTTGTTGCTGCCCAGGTCCATGTTCTGCAAACTGTCCAAATGACTGTAATGGCAATGGGGAATGTGAGAAGGGTAAATGTGTCTGCCAGCAGGGATTCATGGGTCCAGACTGCAGTAAGTGTGCACAAGGAGCTGAGTGTGCTAGAAGTAAGTGAGATTCTACACTATTTGGATATGTTAGCATTAGAGACATATTTCTAAAGGTCTGGTATGTAGGATTTCAGAGGATATATTGGTAGAAATAGAATATAAAATAAAAAGTATGTTTTCTTTAGCATCCCCATGTTTCTACCGTGGCCCAGAACGGACAAACCAAACACTGGCTCTAGATAGGGCAATTTGCGCTTTTGCGCCGACCTTCGAGTTAACAGCCCCTGCCATGATGAGAGCGACAGAAAAACTGATTTTTTTTTTTAACATGAAACTGTTTAATGCCGTGTTTATACTGGTTTAAATCACCGGATCCATTTGTTTTGGAAAGGAAGAGACCTCTGCAGATAATTTGGCTCCCACTAAAAACATTCTGAATGTCTTGATCAGAAAAAAGGTGAGCACACATTAAGTTATTGGAGAACATAGGTGAGCACACATTTGCAGGTAACCGGGTGAGCAGGCATCTGCATGTCAGGAGATGATTTGTAATTTAAAGCTGTTTTAGTCAGAGTTTTTAATGGACCTCTGTGAATAATTTGGCTCCTGGTAAAAACCTTCTGAACAATAAATATTAGAGGAAATCTAACTGGGAGAAGTTTCAGCTGGTTGCGATCTGCAATCCTCACTGCTAGACACCACTAAATATCCTGTAAATCTTACACACAGTTCCTTTAAGTGAGAGAAAGTTGTTTTTATTTGATTATCTCATTTATATTTTGCTTGTAACCTCTACTCTGGTATTTCAGAAGCTGCCAAAGGAAAGGCCAAGTTGACCGTGGAAACAGTGACCCTGCAGGTGAACAAAGACAAGGAAAACATGCAGGAGAGAACCACCAGAGTAGAGCAAACACTCTTCCAGAGGAGGGAGCAGAAGAAAGAGACTGACACTAAGTCTAAAGTAGCTACTAATGCTAGAGTGGGTCTTGTTAAAACTCAAACAAAACAAGATTCTGTAAAGAAAATAACAACTAAAGACTCTTCAAGTGCCGCAAAGACCAGTCGCCCAAATGTGGGTCAAGTTCTGTTGAGACATGAGGGAAGGAAGCAGGAAGAGGCCCGCAAAGGCAAAACAACAGTCCTGACCTCTAAAAAGGTCCTCCAAAAACCTGACCTCAGACTTGTTAAGGAAGGAACTGCCGGTAAAACAAATCCTAAAGCTGAACAACTGAAAGACGAACCTCAAACCAATGTAACTCAGAGTAATGTGAAGAAATCTAACGGCACAGCTAAAATTGTGACCATTCTGACCAAGATCATGGGAACGAACAAAACCAGAACAGGGAAGGAGAATATGGAGCAGTCCACACTGGCTGAGAAACGCACCAAGAAGGTCAAAGTAGACACTACAAATGTGCAGTCTGTTGACAACAGAAACACTGAAGCTGGAAAAACTGGAAAGGCCACACAGAGGAGTCAGTACCTGGTTAATACAACCATTGCGGCAACATCAGGCGAGGGTCGAAGTGTGCAGAATAAAACAACCATCCATGGCTCTGGGAGTGCAAGGAGGATGGGAGGAACCGGATTAGGTTCTGTAAGGGTTGTAAACACCTCCTCCTACAGCTTCACTGTCACATGGTCAGCACCACAAGGGATGTTCAAGAACTTCACCGTGATCAGGAGAGAGCCACGCGCAGAGGGTGATGAAGACGACCTTGAGGAGTTTGAAGAGGAAACTCTTGAAGTCGAAAAGTTCTCCACAGCTAAGAACGCAACTGAAGTGCACATACAGGTTGAGAGCACCAACACAACTGCCGCCTTCGGTAGAGGTGCTGGATCTAGAGGCAGAGCTGAAACAAAGAGGATCTCTATGGTGGTCCCTGGCAGCGTGCACTCTGTGGAGTTCAGTAACCTCCGGGCAAACACAGGTTATGTTCTGCATGTGTATGGCACTACTGCTGAGAAGAGATCAAAGATTCATAGAGTAACTGCAATGACAGGTAATTAAAGTTGCACTAATTTTTTATTTAATTCCTCTACTATCACCAGAGACAAGATCAGTACTGGGAGCAGCAACATGTCAATTAAAATTTCTGTTTTCTTTCATCAGGCCCTGAGCCAGCCACAGAGATGGTTTTCAGCAATGTTACAGAGTCTTCTCTCACTGTTTCCTGGTCCAAACCAAAGACCACATTCTCAGGCGTCAGGGTCACGTACACCAACATCATCACAGGTTTGTCAAAGGCCTGCCTTTATCAGTCAGTGTCTTTTTTTGTTTGGGTGTTAACTGTATCATTGTGATATTTGTGTTGTACCATCCTGCCAGGGGAGAGCCGCTTTGTGACCTTGGAGTCTCAGCAATCTTATGTGGTTCTGTCCAAACTGTCTGCTGGATCCTCCTACATTATCAGTGTAACTACTACATACGGCAGAGCCCAGAGTGATGCTCTCACATCAGTCATCACCACAGGTATGCACCAAAATAAGCTCACCGTTATGTACAGCTGCCTTTTTTTAATTTAAGAATGTGAAAATGCCAATAAAGACCATATAAATTGTCTTTTCGTATAGTGCCTGCCCCTCCAACACATCTCCAAGTTGTCAATGTGACTGATACAAGAGCTTTGCTGCAGTGGACGCCGAGTCTGGGGAAAGTAGACCGCTTCATCATCAGCTACGAGTCCTCCAAGAGTGAGTGTGGCAACTTAACCTCATACCTACAGCACTAGTTAGGGCCTGTCACAGTAATTATGTTATGAACAAACATGACAGAGATCATGTCCATATATCATACGATACCGCTTGTTTACATAAGAATGCCACCAAAATTTTAGCCAACATGATGCCAGAGTAAACAGCAGGGTTTGGCAATACTTTATTGATGGAATGACTCTATCAGAGTCTGATTATCAACACCCACTCTTAAATGAGAACCGTGACGTGCAATACCAAACCCTTCCTGCACATATGACCTCTTAGTTACTCAGCCTGACCAAGCAACACAGATCCACGACCCGACCCGAAACCGCATATCCTATAATAAGCATGTGCTGCCCAAATAATTCAGTTAGGCAGCATGTTTAAGGTGATCCTTTTGGTACATGTCATACATGGCAAACTATGATAATATATTTTAAATCAAAGGTGAATCAGGAAAAACAATCTAAAAGAATATTTTTTACTTATTCTCACATTATTCAGCAACACATCTCCGCAGTTAGGGTGTCTATTAGTACCACACATGACTGAAGTGGCTCTCATATTCCAGCTGATGCAGAACACAGAGTTGACACACAAAGTCAGCAGTCAGAGGATTAAAATGTTCATACATTAAATTATCATTCTTTTCATTTTAATATACTTATTATCAAACACCCATGATCTGACACACATGTTCATTTTTTAACCTAGAACCAAACACACAAATAAAATTAAGACAAAATACCACCCACAAATGACTTTTTTTGTGGATCACCTGCCAGATACTGGTCCGCATGTGGGATCTGCTCTCTATGCCCCTGTGTCAAATGTTTAATATTTACTTAAGTGCAGATTTTGTTGACAGAGCCTAAGAGTTGCTTTTATTTATTGTTTTGTTTGTGTGGTTTTACTTTATTTGTGTTTAATTTATTTCAGATATTTTCTTTTTTTTTCCTAATTCCTATGTTTAAATCCTCTAAAGACTTAAAAGTTCATTATTCTTTGAAAGGGCATGCTAACATTATTAAAATACTATATGATCATTATACCAGTGACATTAAGTGTTCTTAAAATGACAAAAACATAGCAATTATTTCTGGGACAATATATAAAAATTGTTATCGTGACAGGTCAAGTGCTCATGACTAAGCTAAGCGTTCTCTCCTTCGTGCCACAGCTCCTAATGTGACAGTGACAGTGATGCTGTCTGGAAACTCAGTGGAACACCAGCTGAGAGGCCTGCAGAGAGGCACACTGTACACAGTCAAAGTCCTGAGCCAGAAGGACAGTCACCAGAGCATGGCCATCTCGACCACATTTACTACCGCTAATGGTGAGTAGAGAGGGGGATAGAAAGTGAGATCAGGCTTGTTTACGTGCTGCAGAGTTTGTGTGGAAAGTGTGTGAACTAATTACTTGTGGATTTTGTGTCTCTCAGTGGCTAAAGCCAACGAGGTGGGCGCTCGTTCTGCAGTGATCACATGGAGGACTTCCACTGTTGTCTATTACAGCTACAGACTGATCTACCAGGTGGTAGGAGAGGAGGCAAAGGTGAGTAATATTCCCTCATCACTGGCACATACAGTACAAAGAGAGTGCAGATATTTACGGAGTTGCCTAATTTTGTGTGCTTTTCCGGGAACACATTAGGAGGTGATCCTGGACCAATCAATCACAGAGTATAAGCTGACAGGGCTGTTGCCAATGTCACGCTATTATGTTCTGGTACAAGGCGAGAGAGACGGACACTACACATCTATTGTTACCACAGAATTCATCACAGGTGTTGTATTTCATCTGACACAGTCCCTGCTTATTTATCTGCCCTACCAGTACTTTATCACAACTAAGTCATTCTTTATTTGTCATCCCTTAGGCAAACTGCGTTTCCCCTACCCTACTGAGTGCTCTCAGGAGCTGCTGAATGGAGCTCTGGAGTCAGGAGAAGTGGATATCTACCCGCAAGGAAAAGAGGGAGGAGCGGTCAGAGTCTACTGTGACATGGAGACTGATGGAGGCGGCTGGACGGTGAGAAAAACTGCTGTTATCTGAAAGCTTTGCACAGAAAAAATGGCAGTATGGATTTAGATAATAGACAACAGTGGTATGGACATGAGTCACAAATTTGATGACTTTGGACTTGACTAGGCAAAACTGGACTTGGACTTGAACACCAATGACTTATAACTCAACTGGACTTGAACCCTGTGACTTGAAAATGCTAGTAAGCTTCCCCCCAAGAGATTATAAAGATTACAAAGATTATAAAGTATGGTATCTAAAATCTTCGAATCATTCCAAATCCCTTCATTTCCTGAATCAACTAACATTAACACTAGGGATGCACCGAATATTCGGTAACCTAATATATTCGGCCGAATATTGCAAAAAAACACACATTCGGTATTCGGTGGAATAAGTTAAAAGCAAGGCCGAATTAATAGCGGCGTGTTTTGATAACGCAATCAAACAGCGTGCCGTGAAGCGCGGAGTAAAATGTCGGCAGTGTGGCGATCCGTCCCTCACTGCACTCGCATTTGCGACTAAAAATAGTTTTGAGCAAGCGAAATAGACAAACTCCGTCTTCTGTTATTGTTTTGGTTTGAGACCCCTAGCGGCAGAAACTTACATATTGCACGTTTAAATCATTCAGCACGCTGTGCGAGCAGCCTACAGATTTCAACCAGCAGCAGAAATGAAACGCGAATCCCACCGATTGTGGGTTGAACGGGGGTCACAGACACAGACAGTAATGTATTCCTGTCAAATTCAGCGGCCATCGGCTTACCGGCGACAGATAAGTCGGCTCCAATAATATCCTCTTCTTGGTGTGTGGACTGCCCAGAAGTACCTACCTGAACAGCCGAGCCAGCCGAACACAGGTATGTGACGTGTCAGAGGAGAAACGAGCCGTTCACGGCCCACAAACCTCACCGCACTTTAGGGACTGTTCTTTACTTATGAAGGGGAGGAGGGTGGCTGATTGATTGTTATTTTATTTTTTGATCTCCCCTATGTTCATCACTCATTGATGCTGTTTTTGAAGTATGAATAAGTCAATAAGTAATTTATTCCATTGAAATATCATTGATGTATTATAGAAAAGTGATTTATCTTTTTATAATTTTGGTACCGTGACAACACTAATCTGGAGGGGGTTCATCTGCAAAAACTAATGAAAAACTAAACAACGATATTCAGTATTCGGCACTCGGTATTCGGCCAAGCGTTTAATATTATTCGGCTTTGGCCACAAATTTTCATTTTGGTGCATCCCTAATTAACACTACTAATTCCTAACAAGTTGTGACTTAATACCCAAGATTCACTTTGTATGAACCAATCGCACAGCATGAAACTCAAAGTTAAGAATTTGGGATTTGTCAGTCCAGAGGATAGACTGTCTAATGAAGATGGACGATATGACAGCTCCCCAAAAGTGAAGCCAAAACATTTCAATTGCCCCCTAGTGGCTGGGTGCAGTAAATGTCATAAACCCCACCCCCTCCATGTTAGCAGGCAGTGCACATCAATTCATTTTTTCACAAATATGTTTTCTGTCAATTTAGGTAGTTCTTATCTCGCTGATGTATGTCCAAGTGTTTCACATCATAATTGACAGATGTGTGCTAGCAATGGTACTGCTCGTGGTCAGACAGGTGTCTGGACAGGAACTCAATACCGCGGAGGTCGCTACTGTGTACACTCTAGCTCCAAATGATGTCACCAACTCAAGATGGCAGCAGCCGTATCTGAATATTTTGGCTTTATTTTTGTACAGTGGGAGGAAATGCAGACACGTTGTCCATCTTTATATACAGTCTGTGGTCCTGACTTGGGACTTGACTCGAAGCTAGCATGTCTTGACTTGAAACTTACTTATGACTTGCAAAACAGTGACTTGATCCCACATCTGAAAGACAATCTGATGTGTGTGTTTTAGGTGTTCCAGAGGAGAATGAATGGAAAAACAGATTTCTACAGAACTTGGAGTGAATATAGCGCCGGCTTCGGAAACCTCAGCGAAGACTTCTGGCTCGGTACAGATGAAACAAGTTCTTGTCATCATCTGATCTGCATCAATATGTAGAGATATTTTTAACAAATCAGCCTCAATCTTCATTTCTACCACTACTAGGAAATGAGCTTCTTCACAACCTGACCAGTGTCGGCCCTGTGAGTCTGAGAGTGGATATGCGATCTGGAAACTACACCGCTTACGCTCACTACGCCAACTTCTCCATTGATTCAGAGGAGAGGCACTATACTATCACAGTGTCTGGCTACACTGGAACTGCAGGTGAAAACTTTACCAAACATGCGCAGCATTATAATACAGTAAATACCTGACTATTCATACCTCAATGTCACTATTTCTCTGTCAGGCGACTCCATGAGGTACCATACTGGACGTCCATTCTCAACCCGAGACAAGGACCCTGATCCTCTGGGGATCCACTGTGCCAGGGCCTACATGGGAGGCTGGTGGTACAAGAACTGTTACAAGACCAACCTCAACGGTCTTTTCGGCATCAACAGTAATAACCAGGTACAATTCCTCTCTCTACCTAATGGACCTAAACACATTTTATCTTCAGTGAAACAGCACACTAACCAAATACCATCACGTTTATGTTTCTGTTCTGATACAGGGAATAGTCTGGATAGACTGGAAAGGAAAAGACTCCTCCATTCCCTTCACCGAGATGAAGTTCAGACCATCCAGGTTCTCTCCTGCAACTCATGGCTAAAGATACAGTCTTCATACGTCTGACAGAAAATTTAAGTGCCAGAAATCCACAAAACAGTGGATCTCACAGTTGCTGCATGTAGCTTTCCAACTGAATTGCATGTACAGTGGTTTTGATAGTTGTAACAACAGCTATCAGTACATTTGATTCAAGATTGTGTACGATTTTTTTTTCTGATTTTTTTCTGTTTGTTTTTTTTCTGGAAATATACCAAGAGTGGAGAAATGTTTTATTGCAACTTTTTGTATCTTACTGTTCTGCCTGACCCGTCCATTTCAACACAGTTTGTTTTTTGACTCAAATACCTTCTTGTGCACCACCATGGTATGCCACACCCACTACTACTGTAATTGAATATGCACTGTCTCACTCCATTGGAATAAATGTGGCTAATGTGGGTCTGAAGTGTCATTCTTTTGGTTTTGTAAAAGCGAATTAAAACAACCAAATCCTTTGACGGGAAACAGTTTCTTCATTCCCTGCGCTACAAGATAAACTAATGCCTGCATGACTGATCGTCGTGTCAGCTGTGACGTGTTATCCTGTTATCATGCCCTTCTACAAGTTTTAGCCATGTTTATCACTGTCTCTTGTTACATGTGTTGCAGTCATCACAGTATCAGATATGTTGACCTACAAAATATTTAGACGTCCTTGAATTTAGTGGAAACACCAACACTGTGTCAAGCTGACGGGCAAAGAGACTGATGTGAAGACTATAAATGGGGCAGGCAGTGTGCTGACCAACTTTCTGAAGGGGGGAACCAGCAAGACAACACAAAATGGCAATAGAAATATCAGTGATCACTGTGGGAGCTGTGTTGCTAGTTGCGCTGCTGTTGATTTGCATTTTGGGTCAGAGAGACAAATCTTTAAAAGAAGATCGCAAGGGAGGCAAGTCTAAAGGTAATTATTTGTCGTCTTTAAATATGTATATCTGAAAATAGTGCTGTCCCAAATACTATAATAATAATTCTGGGCATAGAAGTTTAAGTGTGAAATGTGAAAGCACTTAAAATATTGTGTCAATCAGCAACTTTCTCAGCATGCAGGTAGCAGTAACATTAGCCATAATAGCTCAAAAAATAATAATACTTTGCAAGACAAGTCCGCTGTTACTTACAGCTTTCAGGTGATTTGCCAAAATAGTTGTAGATTTGTGATACGCCAGTTTCCCTTTGGCTTATCTGGCACTCAAATTTTAGGGGGTCGTCTTTTGCAAATGTTGATACTACTCCAGGCACTTGAACTTCTTGTCATCTTGCTAGCTTATAGGGTGTGGTCAAACTGTCCCAGTTTCAGTAGTGCTGGACTGATATTAGAAAAGCATCGGTCTGAATCAAAAAAATATCACTAAGTTTAAATGTCCTTGTCTGAAAATAACTACAAATAATTCATGTTAATGCAAAATGAATAATGAAGGAGAAGTATTTCTTAATTTATGGGGTATTTGAGATGGTCTGGGTAATATGATATCCAATACACTGAGCTGTAGTATAACTATAACCATGGCAACAACTGAAGCTTCGAAGCATTCAGGTCAGCCCCAAATAACAATATAATGAGTAATGAATCGGACATTTTGCCAACACATGAAAAACTAGTACACCACTGAACCTGATTATTTCATCTCATGGATTACTGTGATTACTGTTCATTCCTTCTGTGTTTTACCTTTCTCTTTCTCAACTCTTTCTTCCAGTAGTTGAATCTGGACTGCTGCAGTACGTCTATCAGTTCCTTCCCTGCTCCTCTTCTCCTTCCCTCCCAGGTCCTCCCAGTCTCCTCCTCATAGGCAATATGATGGAGCTGACACACGACCATCTGCCAATTCACCTGACTGATCTGGCACGGCGGTACGGAAACATCTACCGCCTGAAATGCGGAAACACAAGTAATCATCTCATTTTGGATTCATCATTTTGAATAACTCTTACCATAATACATGTTGATACAAAAACAAAAACTTTTTTGTAGAAGGTACAAAACTTGGTTGTGTTTTTCAGCCATGGTGGTACTTAACAGTACTGAAGTCATAAGAGAAGCACTGGTGAAAAAATGGTCAGACTTTGCTGGGAGACCAGTTTCATACACAGGTATACAACTCAAATGTCTTTTGCAATAATAGTATGCATACATATATTATGTACTTATTACTTCTCCTGACTCGTATCAGGTAATATTGTGTCTGGGGGAGGACACACCATCTCTCTGGGGGACTATAGTGAGGAGTGGAGGGCACATCGTCGTCTTGTCCACAGTGCTCTGCAGCGTTGCTGCCATCAATCGTTGCATGAAGTGATTGAGAGACAGGCACTGCATCTGAGACAGGTACAGGACACTAGTGGACAATATAGTGATTTATCTTAATAACATAATGGCCTGTAATGTGAGAGCAGAGATCAAACCAAATGTTGGGGTATTTCCAGAGCGATCACATGAAGAGATAAAGCATGGTTTGTTCACTGTTTAGGTTGTGATGGACTATCAAGGCGGTGCTGTAGATCTCTCAGAGGATTTCACAGTGGTAGCCAGTAATGTCATCACCACTTTGGCTTTTGGGAAAGAAGTGAGTATCTTTCCTCCCACAGCTCAGTCTGTGCCTCTGACTATCTGAGACTGATTGCATAATCTGCTTCCTGTCAAAGTTGTGGTTGTAGTAGACCAGTGCTTGGTTGCCTATTTATGTTGGGAACTGGGCATGGTTACAGTTTAAGTTGCCCTTTTTCGAGGCGTGCATTACATAAGGGCATTCATAATATGCCATTCTGTTACTAGACAGTGTGTTTCATTGACTAAAATATAAAACTCTGTGTTTTCTAGTATGACAAGAGCTCTCTGGTGCTGCAGCAGCTGCACAGCTGTCTGAATGAGATTGTTGGTCTGTGGGGCTCCTCCTGGATTTCTGCTCTGGACTCCTTTCCACTGCTAAGAGTCAGTAAATATTCACTCTCTGGACTGTAGATCACAGAATTAAATTTCACAAATTAAAGGAGCACTACATCCACAGAATTACCATTTGTATAACCTTGAATTTATGAAGAAAACTTTGTTTTCAACAGCAAAAATATATCAAAACATCAATTTACAAACTCTCATACAACTTGTGCAGTATAATCCAAGTCTCGTTTATCCAGTCATATGATCAGTACTTTCCAAACACATGACTTTTCTCTGAAAAAGCTTTGTATTGGAGTTTGGTTTTGAAGAACGCAGTTAAGTTTTACTTTCAGTTCATTTTTAAACAGTGAGGTTTTAGCAAAAGTGAATGTTTGTGCTAAGCGTTCAACTTGATAAATAGTCTTGGACTATACTGCACAAGTTTTATGAGAGTTTGGAACAAATGTTTTGATATATTTTTGTTGCTGCTAAACATGGTCTCCAAACAATCAATAAATCAATATATTTGGCAACCTCCATGGAAACGTGAGAGAAACATTTTTTTCACAAATTCAAGATAACGCAGCATAATGAAGTGATATACTAATGGTCCCTATGCGGGTGAAGTATTCCTAGAACTCATTTGTTCTCTCGTAGAAATTACCCAATCCTGTGTTTTCCCGTCTCCTAAAAGAAGTGGCCAAGAGGGATGAAATTATAAGAGAACACCTCAACACTTACAAGGTGAGAAAAGGAAACGCCAAAGAATAAAGAGTTATGAAAAATAGACACATAGAGGTCTAATTATGCTAAATGCTCAGGTCACACGTAACAAAAAATGACAAAATCATACAAGATAAATCAAGCAGTTATGATTATAAGCCCAACACGAAAATAGTCTGCTCGGATATATTTTGTACCCCAAGATAGATATTATGAAGAATAAATTTACATCACAGACACCTTTCAAAACCACGTTAATTTTATGTGTGTGCATCCAGAAAAGCGGATGAATCTCAGCTGTATTTTCCTACATTGTTGATTTTAATCATCTGCTTTATTATCTGTGCAGTCACAGGACAAAAAAAATGAGGATACCATCACAGAATCCCTCCTCCATGGCCTCGACAAACAGAACACAGAACATGGAGTGGTAAGCGCATAGAAAAGTAATACCAGGGGATCAATTTGAAATATACTGGGAGTCTATCTAATTTAACGCAAGACTAGAACTCGCATTGAAAATGTAGTCTACTAAATGAAATGTCATTGTGTCTCCAGCTCCTGACAGATGTTCATGTTCACATGGCCACCGTGGACCTCCTCATCGGGGGAACAGAGACCACTGCAGCCTGGCTGAACTGGACTGTGGCGTTCCTCTTACACAGACCAGAGGCAAGGAATATCACTTAACATTAAAAAACATATTTACACATATGGAAGTTTATCTCAGTGTGTCTCTCCTCTCTTACTTCCATCTTCAGGTGCAGACAAAGGTGTATGAGGAGCTGTGCACAGTGCTTGAGGGACGATACCCCAAGTACAGTGACAGGCACAGACTTCCTGTCCTGTGCGCTCTAATTAGCGAGGTGCTCAGACTCAGGCCTGTTGCCCCGTTGGCGGTGCCGCACAGAGCCATCAGAGACAGCAGGTCAGCTGAACGACAATATGCAGGATCCCTGGGGTTTTTAACCAGAAGTCTGGGGAACCCTAGGGATCCTTGAGAGAGTTTTCGGGCAACACAAGAAAAAGAGAAACAGTTTATTTTCACTATTAAACTCACTACAGAAGTGAAACCATTGTGAGCAAGAGTCAAAAGAGTAACTATTCTGATCACAGTTTTCACTTCCCCCCACTGTTATCTCTTCAATTGTAGTAAACTATAAAGTTCTGGTCTTAATCATATCTAAAAAAACAAAATCCCTGAAGGTCCCTGAGGTCAAATCTTATCAAATGTGGGCCAGTGACCTAATGTTTATCAGTTTAGGGGTCCTTGACACATTAAAAAGGTTAAGCACCACTTTATTAGAGGATAAGGCATTGGCACTGGTTGGTGCAACACAGGCCACTTTACGAATCTGGCACAGACCCACATTTTTCCAATATTTTACTCCTAATGTTTACTTTTTACTTTTGCATAAAATCATACATCAAAAAGCAATTTGCCAACACTGGAAAAGAAAACAAGTAAACAGCGTAGGACCCAGGCTGAACTGTTGCTCTGCATAATCAGGCTGCGCATAACAAATGTTAGTTTCCTGCAAACCAACATCACGAATAAGTAGATACACTAGAAAGCACCAAATGTGTCTAAAGGTGTTGTTTTCAGAGTTTCTTATTTGCATCTGAATCCAGATCTGCAAAAAAAGAGTATATAATAGTTCTATCATATAAAGTGTGTAGCTATATTGATAAACTTGGGTCCTGTCAGTCAGCAAGTATACACAAAAGCCATTTGTATGGATGCTAACACTGTTTTTATGACCCTCACGTGTCTTAAGTATTGCAGGTTACTTCATCCCTAAGAACACAGTCATCATTCCTAATCTTTTTGGAGCTCACCATGACCCTACAGTTTGGTCTGACCCGTACAGCTTCAAACCAGGTATACTGCTCTGACTGTGAGGTGAAGTGCATTCCTTTCACTTGGCTCAGCAGATCTCAAACACAGTAGCTACTCTCTCTCTCTTTCAGAGCGCTTTCTGGAAGGAGGAGGAGGCTCCACTCGTGCCCTGATCCCTTTCGGAGGGGGGGCTCGGCTCTGCTTGGGGGAGTCTGTCGCCAAAATGGAGCTCTTTCTGTTCACTGCCTACTTGCTGAGAGATTTCCAGTTCGTCCTTCCAGAGAGCGAGGCCTCTCTGCCCGACCTGAGAGGAGTTGCTAGTGTTGTACTAAAAGTCAAGTCCTACGCAGTTGTAGCACTACCGAGACCTGTGGCTAATCCCTGAACCACAGAGGGTTTACTGCTTGTTGCTTAAAATCTATGCATGATTTTTTTTTTACTTTTATACACTGCCTGGCCAAAAAAAAAAGTCACTACCAGAAAAAAAAGGTCACACACTCTAATATTTCGTTGGACCGCCTTTAGCTTTGATTACAGCACACATTCGCTGTGGCACTGTTTCGATAAGCTTCTGCAATGTTACAAGATTTATTTCCATCCAGTGTTGCATTAATTTTTCACCAAGATCTTGCATTGATGATGGTAGAGTCTGACCGCTGCGCAAAGCCTTCTCCAGCACATCCCAAAGATTCTCAATGGGGTTAAGGTCTGGACTCTGTGGTGGCCAATCCATGTGTGAAAATGATGTCTCATGCTCCCTGAACCAGTCTTTCACAATTTGAGCCCGATGAATCCTGGCATTGTCATCTTGGAATATGCCCGTGCCATCAGGGAAGAAACCTATTGATGGAATAACCTGGTCATTCAGTATATTCAGGTAGTCAGCTGACCTCATTCTTTGAGCACATACTGTTGCTGAACCTAGACCTGACCAACTGCAGCAACCCCAGATCATAACACTGCCCCCACAGGCTTGTACAGTAGGCACTAGGCATGATGGGTGCATCACTTCATCTGCCTCTCTTCTTACCCTGCTGCGCCCATCACTCTGGAACAGGGTAAATCTGGACTCATCAGACCACATGACCTTCTTCCATTGCTCCAGAGTCCAATCTTTATGCTCCCTAGCAAACTGAAGCCTTTTTTTCCGGTTAGCCTCACTGATTAGTGGTTTTCTTAAGGCTACACAGCTGTTCAGTCCCAATCCCTTGAGTTCCCTTCGCATTGTGTGTGTGGAAATGCTCTTACTTTCACTATTAAGCATAGCCCTGAGTTCTACTGCTGTTTTTCTTCGATTTGATCTCACCAAACGTTTAAGTGATCGCCGATCACGATCACTGAGGATTTTTTTCCGGCCACATTTCTTCCTCGAAGACGATGGGTCCCCACTATCCTTCCAGTTTTTAATAATGCGTTGGACAGTTCTTAACCCAATTTTAGTAGTTTCTGCAATCTCCTTAGATGTTTTCTCTGCTTGATGCATGCCAATGATTTGACCCTTCTCAAACAGACTAACATCTTTTCCACGACCACGGGATGTGTCTTTCGACATGGTTGTTTAGGAAATGAGAAGCAACTCATTGCACCAGTTGGGGTTAAATAACTTGTTGCCAGCTGAAAGATAATCGCCCATGCAGTAATTATCCAATAGGAGGCTCGTACCTATTTGCTTAGTTAAATCCAGGTGGCGACTTTTTTTTTGGCCAGGCAGTGTATGTGCAAATAATAACAAAACCTTCATGTGTGTGTTTCTCATCAATATTTCTTCTATGTTGTATTCTAATTAAAATGGGCTGTTAATTGGTTCATAATGCTGAATTTATGACAGCTATTTCTTTGATTATCTCTAAATAAACCCAGGACAGACCCTTTGACGTGATCTATTTATTTCTTATATAGAGGCAAAGCAAACTTTTTAAAGTTACATATATGAAAATATGAGCCTCAAGGTAACCATTGAAGGGGGGGATTTAAAAGAAAGGTCAATCAGATGATGAGATTTCTCCAGAATGGAAAGAGAAAGTGTGGAGCCGTCAGAAGGAAAGCATTAACCAAACGAATGCTGTTCAAGTGGAGCTGCGTGCAAATCAAAACCTGGGTTTGTACAAGTTCCTGTACACTGAAACTGGTCAAGTGCCTGGTATTTTACAAGAAGAAGCATATCTGTCAGAGTCTGACAGCACCACCCAGTGGACAAACACTGAACATGCTACAGAAAGCGACATAACTACCCTCCTGTGTAAATGTTCCACAGACCTTCGGGTTATCACTCTTCATCAGTGGGTTAGAGGCACTTCTTGTAAAGGTGTTTGTATTAACACCATAAATAGCCATCTGATGATAGACACAAGTGATAACTGGTGCTTCTAGAAGGTGTTAATTTAACATGTGGCAGTGGTGGAAAATGTCACATAAAAGGCACAGAGTGTAGACTATAGTGCACATGACGCATTCATTTGTGCAGAGGCCACAGTTTTGTACAAAGTTGAATAGTTTACATGAGGAGAAGAACGTGGGCCTCTCGTGAGTTTCCTTCATGTCATTTCCTGAATATGCGTTTTTAGATACATGCATTTGGAGGATTTAGCAATAAGTGAGGGAATCAGCGAGAGGACATATTGTGAGAGAAGGATGGTTTTCATTTCAGTGTTAAGACTCTGTCTTCTTTGTCTCACACAGGCAGCAGCTGGACTTCAGTCATTTGGTAATTATACAAAAATAGAAAATCTTGTTAATCTGTTGTATATTTGTTTTGGGTTCTGACTTAAATAACTCTAAGCTCTCTAACCTTTTTAACAAAAGCCGACATGTGAAAGATTAAATTTCCACCCATTGAAAATAATCTGATTAAACCAAACGCTTACAGCAAAAATGTGAAAATAAAGTCTGAATATCAACTGTGGCATTAAACAAGGCTGGACAGAGAGCTAGAATTAAAATTAAGTAAAATACTGGGGTTTTACTCAAGTTCAAGTAAACTTATTTTGGAAAAAAATGCACTTAGATAAAAGTAAATAGTAGGTTTATTGAAATGTACTCCAAGTAAATAGTACTGTGTTAGAGTTTTAAAAAGTCAAGGGGGGCAATGAAACAATTGTATATGATAATGTGATGTGATAGATCTATTACAGTAAAAAACAGAAAAAACAAAAAAAAAGAAATAGAAAATCATTCTGCACGTCCGTTCATTGTCCATGGAAACTCCAGACTTTATACATGGCGACATCCCAGCTTTGAGACTACTTATTTGGTTTCTGGCTTTGAGATAGAGAAGCTCATAGAAGCTAGGCCTTGGAAATAACATTGCAGTTTTAATTTACCGTAAAACTTGTATTATTATTTGCTTAAATCACTGAAATCAACAGACCTATATTTGGGTCAGGCCTTTAATTCCTTTCAGACAAAACTGTTGCTCAGTAAAGACGGGAAAATTGTTAATTTAAAACAGTATGAATATTACTTGTCTAAAAAGTAGGCTTCAGATAATCAGTTATGAATCATTCATGTGATCTAGCACCAACAGACAGCCCATCAGAGAGAGTTACAACACTTTGGTGGATTATGGCACCCAGCATACCGACACAACACCACTTTATCCTGTTAAAACAATACTCACAACTGGGATTCATTTTTTTGAAAAACTCTTTTGATTCTGTTGATCTGAGGACCCTTACAGACTAAAGGAATATGAATAACTTACAGGGTAATTAAGGAATGGACACATAATTAACAGGTAGCCTACGACCTGCTTTTATACATCCGAAGAATTTCGACCAAAAAAAAAAAAAAGCTGCTTGGCACCTGACCAGACGTCTACTTGAGACAGTAATTTATTTGTCAAAATATGAAGTCACACCAGGCTAGTAAAAGGAACAGGGCGTTTAATTGGGACTAGGCTTTTAATTTAAGTTTAATGGTAGGTGGTGTTCCCCTTTAAGCTACAAAAACAGCCTGACACTAGTATATGGATAAAATCAAATATCACAATGTTTTAGATCAAATACCTTGATATCAATATTGCAATATTGATAAATTATTATCAGTAATGCTGTTATAATGACTAAGTGGATAAAGGCAAATAACAGAACAGCTGGAACAGTCTGGTAAGTTCAGAAAACTATATCACTTTGTTGTAATGCAGTCTTTAAATCCAAGAAAACACAACACTTGAGATATTATCATATCAAAAACCTAAGACGATATATATCGCGATATCTCTATAGTATTGATATATCACCCAGCTCCTTATAAAGAATTAACAGCATACTAAAACATCACCAGCTTCATCAGGCTGCACATAGGCTATATGTACGAACAATGTCAACTCTTCAATGGCTGCAGCCAACAACAAACAGCAGTCAGACAGCTGCACAGTTTTTGTATCACATGTAGCCAAACCGCAATGCGCACGTAATGCCAGGCGACGTGCGCTAGCGAGTTTACATTATCCTCTGGAAACAGTTAATTCATTTGTTAATGTACTCACCTGTCTTCGCATCTTTTTTTGAGTCTTGTTTACCGCGGTCCGGGCTGAACTTCTCAGCTCCTTCCTTGAAGCATAAACCAGTTTAATCTGCCTCTCTGGTCCCACTGAAACCAGCTCTGTCCCAATTAGCTCCTCGGAGGTTTCAAACATTTGAGCTAAATGAGGCCCAGCGGTCACTGTGACGGAGTATTTTCATAAACAGCAGAAATTTAAGTCCTTACACACTTAACTGAAAGAAGCAGCTCCCAAACTGATGAAGTCGTGGTCTGCGAACGACCGTTATAGCATGCTAGCACTTTAGCCGATATGTGTTAGCCACACCCAGCATGCACCTGTTCACGCAATAACGTCGTTTGATATAGGTCACGTGACGTGCTGGCCAGGTGGTGCGTTCAATTACTGCTTAATTAAGGTAGATGCAACCTTCGTATTTACCTATGGTATTTACAGAGGCTACTATGCCGAGGTAATAATGCTAACTTTACCCTATAATGATGGAATTCTTTATGATATTGCTTTTTTTTTCTCTATAATGTTGCTATAATTGTGATTAACAATATAAGTAAAATCACTGATTATTTTAATTTCTCAAAAAGTGCAAGTACACAAAAATACTTTGCCACTTCCCTTGTTATAATTATGCAAGGGCGTAGGTCAGGGGCATAAATATTGACATTACAGGCAGTGCAATTGCAGTGGGGCACCTGGGGTGGAGGGGCCTGTAGAAAGGGTGGGCCCTTGCAAGTGATTCAGATTGCCACTTTGGAAATATACCCCTGTTCAAAGATGAATGATAAAAAAAATAATATTATTAACTTAGAAACTGTGCCATTTATTACATGTCAGTAGCCATGTAGAACAAAATTATTTCCTTTTTTATATAAGCTAGAAAATCTATAAATATACTATGAAACTTTAATTTCTTACTTTCTTTGGTATTTTTGTTACATATGCCATGATGACAGCTGGGTTATGTATGATGATGTTGTCCAGTGTCAAGTCTCTATTTGTGTCAGGACATTACATGCATTAAAGCATGAACTAGGGCCCATCGTAACTTTGTTTATGCCACTGAGGTAGGTTTTGTTTCAATATTGAAGAAACACATATAAAATCAGGGGTTTTCCAGGAAATTCTGAGCATTAAAAAGTTATTTCCTGGTGAGTTTGGTGAGTTTTTAAGCATCATTTGTGCCTTTTCTGCATCAGTTTATGGTGTAAATGTATTTTATTTTGTCAAAATAAAAGTCCTCTGCTACTTTCATGTTTTTATTTGGGGGAGAACAAATTTACATGCTCTGAATATTGAGGGGGACGTCTGTGTCCCTCTCAATATCTACATGTATTTGAATATGTTCAGTTCATGATACCTTCACCATACCTTTAGCTTTCAGTTATATTGGTTAACTTGCTCTGATGAAGTGAATGAGATCTTTGACAGAACTATGACTTGGAGAATGAAATGCTTTTCTGTCTTCTCCATCAGATCATTCAGTGATGTTTGCCTTACTAGGAGGTGATATTACTTTGCCATGTGGCATACCCTCTCTTAAATCCTGCTCCTCCGTTAACTGGAACATGTCCGGAGAGTTTGGATCAGCCACTGAGATGGTGAAAGCTGGAAGAGTGACAGCTCCGAACGCCCTCAGGCTTGGCCTGCAAACGGATTGCTCTCTAGATATTAATGACCTGGAGCTCAATGATGCACGACTTTACGCCTGTGGCAGTGGAACACTCAATTCAAGTGTTTCGCTTCAGATTCTTGAACGTAAGTCACTCAAAATGTTCCTGAATATGTAATGTCGATATCACAATAGTCACATGATGGTTTTTTTACATTCACCAGTCATCGAGAGGTCAACTCCTGCAGACGGCACCATAGAGCTTCACTGTTTCCTCAATATGTTTAAAGGATACGTCCCTTGTAACAACAAAGGCATACATATCAAGTGGAGCACTGAAGACGATACACCATTAAACGGGAAAAGATTTCGCTTTGAAAATCCCTCTGAATGCTTCTCTAAACTGATCATCACTAAAAAACTGACAGATCATCAAAGAAAATGGAAATGCCAGCTGACTCAAAACAGCACAGTTAAAGCCGCCATCACTTATACAACAACACTACAAGGTAAGCTAAACTCCACTTTAGTGTACTCTAAATGAACCATGAGACGTGCAAAGTTTGACCAGAACTCCCCATTTCCTCAGATGGCATAGAGGAAGTGTTTGCTGCAGTGGGTGAGTCAGTGTCACTCTCTTGTAGCAACACTTCCTCTCTGCTTGTGGGCAGCCGCATGAAGTGGGCTGTGGGTGAAAGGACGCTGACAGATGATGCATCGCCTTATAAAGGCCAAACTGAGGCTTATCATGTCAATAAAGACTCATCACTGGTTATTAGCAAAGTGAGTGCTGTGCATGCTGGGGACTACCAGTGTTCAGAGTCCTCTGGTCAGCAAACGGTGTTAAACAGAATCAGACTGCACACCCTCGATGGTGAGTGTTAAAACTCTAAGTGCCAGAACACAGCATGAATCATGCTATATATTCGTGTTTAATTATTTCCTCTCATGTTTGCCTTTACAGTCTCTTCAGAGCACGGACCAGGAGATGATAATCTCACTTTGACTTGTGTGCTTACCTGCACTACAGAATGTGGAAAAGACTTAAATTTAACCTGGTCTGGAGGTAGCCAGAACAGCTGGCAGAACACCTTAATGAATGTGAACAACACTCTTATAAACAGCCTATTTCTCCCAGTTTCTCCAAAAAATGACGAATTAACCTGCTTTGTGCATAGAGAGGGTGAAGTGACGGCATCAAAGAAGTGGCACACTGTTAATTGTAAGCATGCCTCATTGCTATTGTTGCCTTTCTCCTAAATTAAACCCACACATAAGAGAAAATGCACTCTTGGATCTGAGTAAACAGAGAGAAAGTGATTGTTATTTAATGTTTACAGCTCTGCAAACACCTGCTTGGGTAGTCCTCCCTCTAGCCCTCCTGATATGTATAACCGCTGGTGGTCTTTACATTTTCATGAAGAGGAAGCACAACAAGGATGCAGGTACTGATTCTGGTTAAGTAGCCATACAACCTGCAGAACAACTGTTAGGTGAAAATGTTTCAAGAGCCTTGATGAATATGAAATAATACCTGTATGGCTGCTGTTTTCCTTCTTTTCTGTTTGCAGGAAATGAGCAGTCAAGTATTGGAATGGTAAGAGACAAAACATACCATAAAACTTCAATTGATAGCCCCGGCTATGAATCACTGAAATGTACAGACCTATATGTGGGACAGGAGTCTACACGGGACAGACCTTTAATTCCTTTCACACAAAACTGTTGCTCAGCAAACATCAGGAAATATAATCAAATTGTTTGTTTAAACCAGTATGAATATTACTTGTATAAAAAGGCTTAAGATAACATAACAATTATGAGTCATTCATTTTATCTAGCACCAACTGACAGCGCATCAGAGAGAGAGTAACAGCACATGTGGATTATGGCACCTGGCATACCGACATAACACCACATTATCCTGTTAAAACAACACTCACAACTTGGATTGATTTTTATGAAAAGCCCTTTTGATTCTCCTTATCTGAGGACCCTTACAGACTAAAGGAATATGAATAACTTATAGGGTAATTGCAGAATGGACAAGTTGAGGCACCCAACAAAGTGCTTCTATACATCCGAATATCTTCTATTAACAAATGAACTGCTTGGCAACCAGACCAGGCGTCTAATTGAGACAGACTTTAGTTTGTCAAAATGTGTAGCCACACCAGGCTAGTAAAAGAGACTGGGCCTTTAGTTGAAGTTTTACGGTGATTGTGCTAAAGTAACTTTTGTCGGACTGATTTACCAGAATGCTATAACTGCAGTATTCCTCTCCACAGACTCATGTATATGAAGTCATCCAGGATGCACATAATGAGGAACTACACCAGCAAAGAAAATCCAAAGGAGCAGCCGCTACCACCACTGACAGTTTCTATGATTTGTTACAGGCTGTTAACTAAATAAAAGTGTTCTCTTAAAATATTACTTGTGTATGGCTCCTTCGTCATGATCATTTATCACCCTACAGATGAATTCATATTGGATTAAAGGTTTTATTGACAGATTGTAAACATGTCTCCATTTCACAAAAAATAATACAGATGATTAGATGTATTAACACAAAGAGGGTAATTAGGAAGAGTCTTTTCAACATCTTAAAACAGGGGCTAGTCTTTTCCATGTTGCAGTAGAGCACACTTTTTCCATGTTCCTTTATACAAAACACACTCTGCAACACTTTACAGGTTAGTAGATGTTACATGTTTTGACATGATGCATGATTGATCAGGTAGTCCAGATTAGACAGTGAGGACCTCAATTTAACGAGGAAAATCTTCGTCTTGAGAAGACTGAAAAAGACTAATACCGGACTGCAATGAAGAAGAGGTATTAGTTACTTGGCTATTCTGATATAATGAAAATAAAAGTATGATTTTTATAATAGTACTTACAAGTGCACGGGCCTTCTTCCGGGACTGCTTGGTATATGCTGTTGACTCGGTTTGAACGATCTGTGAGATAGAAAGTCATCCATAAGCAAGAGAGGTCACAGTGACTTGACTGAAGAAGTTAGAGAATAGCATGGTGCATTGCTCACCTTCTGAAAATGTAAGACTCACAATCTCATAACCACCGAGAGTACCTGATCGAAGACAAGAGAACATGAAGCTACGATAACACTTCACTGCAGCCATTTGCTTTCAACATTAATGAAGACATAGATCAAACCTCCTGGGTAGCTCAGGGTCTGCTGTGGCACTCTGGGGGTGTTACATCTGCGGTAAATGAACAGTCCTATCAGTGCAGCCATTATGGCAATCCCAATAATGACTGAAGCTACCACTGCAATAAATGCTCCACTGCTCTCCTCTTTCTCGGGTTCTGAAATAATCTCAGTGCTTGTCAGTGTTGTCAGTGCTGGGGAAGACAGGAAACAGATCTCAGCGATAAAAACACCATTTAATTGCAGCTTAATTAAGATGTACAGTATTTTTGGAATACCTGGAGCAGTTGTGGTCACAACAACATCTTCCACTTCTTACAGGAAATAGAAAAGTTACATAAGAGTTACGCATATTGTCATTTGCTGTCAGATTTACCAAATAGTTTAGAATCTTACCTTGAACCAGTAGCTTAATGTCAAAGCAGCGCCGAGTTTGTCCAAGCATGTACTCACATCTGTACCACTGACTGTCACTGTAATTCACAGACTGGAAAGCTAATGCTGTCTCATTAACTTCAACCCCTTTAGAGGTGATAGGTACAGGCTTGCCTCCTATTAGCATTGCCCAGGAGATATTTTGGGGTCCTTGTTGTTTTGATGTTATTTCCACTGGACAGTTCAGGTTAAAGGTTGTGCTGGGTGCTGCCGTCACTGCTGCCGGCACTTTGCAGTCTGAAAGAGGCAAATTTATGTTATAGTACATGAGTGGGATTTATTTATAAAAGAGCAAGAATAAAGAGAATATAATGTGTAGTCTTACCTCTTACTCTTAAAGATATGTTTTTCACAAGAATGCATTCCCAGCCTTGCCAGATTTCACATCTGTACAGTCCCTCATCAGATTTTTGTGACTTTGTCAGAGTAAGAGACATTCGTCCATTTGCATCAGCCTTCAGTTTCACACGTTCGGCATCCTGGAATTCAGGCATTTCCGGCCTGGCAAAGATAACCTTCATCCAACTGGCATTTGTGGCATTAATCAATTTGAATCTGAGGCAGCTCTTTGGATCCATTACATTAGAATCAGCACAAGGGAGAACTACATCTTCTTCTTGATAAACAACCACATTCGTATGTTGGCGCTCTTTAAGAAATAAAGATTAGACTCAGAGCAGATATTGTATGTAGGGTTTTGAGAAAGCGTACACCAAATACTTCCTCTGTCACAGAAAAAAATAAAATACACACTGAATGTGGTAAAAAAGATTCAGCCTACTCACCTTTGCACGCTGATATGACTGTCAACAGAACTGACAGCAGGAGAACCTGTGGATTACAATGTGCCATTTTCTTTGCAACATAGCAGTGTGAAGTGACACTTAATCTCCTCTGTACTTGACTGTTCTGCACCTATTCTCAGTTCTCTAAGTCACACAGAAGTCTCAATGTGAAACTACCTGCAAAGACCAGCATTAGTTTTTGTTCTGTTTATTTAATGATGTGGCCAACAGAGCCACCGTGTGGCCAGAAAAAGACACTACATCAAAATGACAAATGGACGTTTGTTAACCCATTGACACAAACAAATACAATATTTGGGTGCAAATATTTTTTGGAATATGTTCATTTGAATACAGAACAAATACAAGGTAAATATACATTAATTCTGAATTTGATGCCTGCAACATATTTGTAAAAAGTTGGGACAGGTGCATATATACCTCTGTGTTACATCACTTTGTCTTTTGCCAGCACTCACTCAAGAGTTTGGAACTGATTGAGGATTTGAAAGTGAAATATCTTTCTCAAGATTCACAAGCAGGCCTCCCAAAATATTTAAGATTTAAAGACTGTCTGTCTGTAGAAGAATGGGCCAGAATCCAACTGGAACACAGGAAGTATTCTGAAGTTGGCATTGCAAACAAAGGCTTCAGTATTAAATACATTTTATTTAGCATGTTCAATATTTTTTTCCTGTGTTGTTCCACTTTATTGCACATCATTTTTATGGACTGAAATGTTACGATTTCTTTATCAGCATAGTTTTATTAATTTAATACCAAAGTCTGATGTAAATTTCATGTGAATAGCTGCAGTGAAATATGGATTTGCAAATCATTGTTTTTTATCAATTATTCGTTTTTGGATTGGGGTTGTACATATTGAGTTCATAATTAAATATTAGTGGGGAAAGTGAAAGAACAGCAATAGCTCTTCCCTAATTACCAAGCTGACCTTGGCCTCAAATGACCTTCTCTTAATAACATCATACCGCATATAACACAGCTCTATTGTTATGGCAAAGACCGTAAGAGACATTAAGAAGTAACACAACATATACATCTGCAGCTTTTGATCATTCCTCAACCCTGATCTTCCCTGTCCCCATGGGTCTTTCTCTAAATTTTCTATAGAGTAGAAATAAAGACAAAATATCAATACAGACTCATACCCCTTTTCTAGCTAAGTTGAGTGCCTCTGTCCTAGCCTCAAGCAAGACGTAATTGCCGCCTTCATCCTAGCAACAGAGAGCTCCACAGATAAGAGCTCTATTAAAAAGTATTTCCACTGTTGAATAGAAAGACTGGATGGTGGCTTCCACTTCACTATCAATATCATGCTGATAACCATAGCTGACTTTGAGTGTGATTAAAGATCTGCCCAGGATCATCATTAAGTAGCATACATGCTTTTAACTGATGGACACTCCCACATGATATGTAAGAAAGTCCCCAGTTGATTCAAATCACACAAGGTACAGTCTGTAGATACTCATCATGTAACACCGCTTTGGTGTCAAACAAGTTTGAAATATGAAATTCAGGCTTGTTAATTTATGATTTACATTTTTTGAAGAACAGGAAACATTCTCCCAAATGATTCAGAGCAGTTCTTATACCAAATTGCTCAAATTGTCGAGGTGCCCTTGAGCAGCTGACACTGAGGCAGCCTCCAAGTGTGCATGAGTGTGAACAGTGCATTTCTGAAAAAGGGAACATCACTCACAGTGAAAGTTTCCTGAGTAATGAAAGCTTACAAAAATAGATGTATCTTTAATTCAAACATGCCGTATAAGCAGATTATTTCTGCAGAGTAACGTGCATCGCTCTCTTTTTCCATATACAGTTCTCCTTGCTGCATCACTCTTACTTCCTTATTTACAATGTCAGAGAGCAACACACACGTATTTAAACTGTTGGATTTTGAATGCATCACTTTTCTGCATAGAGTGTGTTAGAGCTTATTAATTTGAATGACCACTTCCTGGCCATTACACAGCAGGTATTTTATATGCAGACTCCTCGTAGTGAGCAACACAACAGCGCCTTGTCTTTCTGTGTCTTGTCAAATTTAGACTATGTGAGCATTACCATGTGCATTCTCCTGTTGACCTCAGTTTTACTGCAGCCTTAAATACTACAGAGGAACCTCACTAATGCTAACTGAAACTTTGTGACTCTACTTCCTCTTGTGGCTCCATTTAGAGAAACACCATCATAGCTTTTCACACTCACAGTGTTCACAGGCTCTCAGCACAGTGCATAGAAATGGACAGCTCTGCTCAAGGTTAGTTTGCCATACCTCTCCTATACAAGTCTGATTGTCATTTGAGTATTTTTATTTAATTATTATTATTATCTTTTTTTTTTTTTTTTTTACAAATTGTCTTGTGTATTATTTCACAGGAGGTAAAGCATATGGTATCCTCAAGTCTCAACAGGAAGAAAGACTGAACGCCATCAATGAGGTGAATTGATATCTTTAGACAAAGTCATCAAGTTACAACAGAGATCTGCATTTTGGGATCATTTTCTACACACAGGGGCTGGGAACAAAAACATGACACCTGTGTGATACCAGTAATAAAATGTCTGATTTATTGGTGTCATTTACTTATCACTCCCCTAGGCCTTTATCTCAGATCCCAAGTATGTTGATGAGGAAGACCTTGGCTCAAAGCTTGAAATGTTTAAAAGTGAGTATTCAACGCTTCAGTTGATTTGTTTTACTACTTAGGACACAGCCAGGCATTTTGAAATGACATTGTAATATTTTCTTTACAGAGAAGTACATGGAGTTTGATCTTAACGACAAAGGAGACATAGGTAAAAATACACCAGTCTTAAAGCCCTTGAATATCTTTAGCTTTGCAACAGCTTTACAAATTATAATATAAGCACTTTTTACTTATTTGCTTTCTTTTAACTACACACTTTACAGATTTGATGGGGTTGAAACGAATGCTGGAAAAACTCGGATTGGCCAAGACTCACTTAGAGCTGAAAAAGATGATGTCAGAGGTCGTTGGAGGGACATCAAAAGAAACTATCAGCTACAACGACTTCCTGAATATGATGCTGGGAAAAAGAAATGCAATTCTAAAACTGTGAGTACATACTGGGCAATTCAGAGGATGGGTGGAGATCCAAAGTTAGGTCACATGAGGATTAAAGTTTAGGGGAGAATAAGCCCCCAAATGATTAAGCTACAGTTGGTGATGATGGCCTTGAGCCTATAAGTCTAGCTGATAAGTTTGTTTCTCAATCCATAAAGGTATGATAATTTTTTGATGTAAAATAGTATTTTCTGTACTGAGTTTCCAAGTCTACAGTAATGTCTTGTATAGCAGCTTATATGTAATTGTATTCTTTTAAGGATCTTGATGTTTGAAGGCATGGGAAAGGAACAGGAGCCCAAAGATACTGCACCACCTTCTCGCAAAACCTTTTCAGACCTGCCCTGAAGGAGCGACCCCGTCCCAGCACGGATGGACTTTTTTCAGATTGAAACATCAACTAAATGCTTTGAAATTCATGTCAATAGGAAAAACATACACATAATGTGAAATATGCAGCTTTTTTTTAAGTATTTGAATTGACTTAAAAAAAGAAGTTTTGTATGAATCCGACCACAGTACAGATTTCTCACTTTATAGCCAACTTAATGTTTTATAAGTGCTGTAGTACCATAGTCAGCTGAATATACATGTATTGCTTTAGTTGCTTGGTTAAACACATCACATATTCTACTGATGTATGGACTCTACGTGTGAGTGGCTATTATCACATCAGACGAAATACCCTACTGTTGTTGTAAAAATATAGGAACATCATTGTGCATGATACAAGGTGTAGACCATCTTTTTGAAACATGTAGTTAGGCCTAATGTTTAAACATATTTATTAAAACAAACGCTCCACAACGAGACAATCATAAATCCTGTTATCATCTTTTTGTTGGACATTCATTAAAAATGTAAATGGAAAGCAAAATGTATTTTGTTCCTTCCTTTTTTTAAATTAAAATGTGTTTTAATAAATCAACATTTTACACACTTCCTGTTTCTGTCTACGACAACATGCGTCATGAGGAACTTTATTTTGAAAACTCGTTCTAACCGGAAGACATATTTGTCATAAGGGAAGCGAGGAGGGATAAACTAGCTAAGCTTGCAGTTGATGTGTTAACTAAGATAGAGAAGGGTGAGTAAAAGTACCTGACTGTAAACAGTTCTGCACATGTAGGAGACATTACCTCTGAATATATAATGCAGTTAAAATAATTTATTACTACATTATTTATCTGTAACTAAACGTGTTAACGCCGGCTAACGTTAGCAAGCAGCTAGCTAGTAATCAGGAGCTAATAACGTAGGTAGCGTTAGCAGGTCAGAGACGCAAACGCAGAATAAATTCAAGATTATATGCTATAAAATTAAATAATTATTCAAAGTGTCTGGGATTACAGATTCAGATTGTTGCTTCTGTGGTGGAATAAAATGTTAAATCTGTGTTTGTAAAGTTATCATCCCAAGAAAATGAACTGCCGGTGTTAGCTTTAGCCACAGTTATAAAATGAATGGTGGTCCATCACAGCTCTGTCGTGTTTGTCAGGAGGATGAGCAGCTCAGAGGAGGTGTCCTGGATATCCTGGTTTTGTGGACTCAGAGGCAATGAGTTCTTCTGTGAGGTTAGTCCCCCTGGTTATTTTTAGATTAGAGCCTCGATTGCAATTTACAACCAGTTTGCATATGACAACATTAAGTTTTCTAACATTCACAGGTACACAAAGGAAAACCATTTACAGGGTTCCCACATAATTACATGGACAGAATGTCAAAAAATTTCCCATGGCTTTTCAAGGACCCATAGTAACATTTTACTAGACCATTCACAACCTGTAACAGGAACAGAACTTTACAGTATACAAATATTATACACTTTAAACTACAGGCACAGTCAACACACTGTTCTTTGTTAAAAAATAATTCAAAACATTGCTTTAGAAGCACTTTGGTACAATCCATGGATATCCTTTTAATTAACATACCCAGTAAGCCGTTCAGTATAGCCAACATGGGCAGAAAATTAAGAAACATACATGATGGTGAACAAAATGTTAACAGTTACAAGAAAAAAATTAATCTGCCATTATGTTACAGGAAGATTATTGTAACAATTAATTTAATTATGTGCTACAAAATTCCATAACTTTTCCAAAACTTTAAAAAATTTTCTAATTTCATGAGTTTTCCTGGCTTGGAAAATAAAATTGTGAAATTCCATGAGTTTTCCAGGTTTTCCATGACTGTGGGACCCCTGCACAGACTTTACCACATTCTGAAACATTAAGTCTAAAATCATCCTCTTGCCACAGGCTGTCAGACTGCTACAGGCCTTACAGACACCTTGCTCAACACAAACATACTCCTACATTTAAAGATTTCATAATTGTATATGGTTTATGCTATATATTGTTAATACTATATTGACAGTATTTTATTTATTATGTTTGATGCACCCGTAGACTTTCAGTGTTTGTTTTTACCCTGTTTGATTGCTTGTTTGTTTTCCCTGGTCCATAAGAATCCATGTTTCATCTCAGCTGTATTTTTATGGTTGAAGTGACAAATAAATTTACATGTTCTTGCACTGTCAGTGTAACAGTACATCTCACATTTTTATAGCCATGAACACATACCTGCAGATGGCAACTATGTTTTACACAAGTTATTTTTTTGGGTCAATAGTGATGTGTGTCATTTGGTGGTTTCACATTAAGACCTATATTTGAAGGGGAACTACATCTGTTTTCAAAATTCATATATGTCATTCACCATAATCTGGGAGAGTCCAAAAAAAATTGTAAAATGAACAACTCAAATCCAAAAGCTGGAGTGTTAAATCTTAAATGTCTAATGTCATATGGTATAAAGTCTGAAGCTGCTCCACTGACAAGGAATTGGGGAAGATGTTATAAATGACACTGAGAGCACCCAGAGGAATGTTCTGGGTATATGGGTACATTTTCTGTTTCAGAACTGAGAACACTACAATACAGTAAAGCTCATTTAGGTATTAAAAAAAGAAAAACATTTTATGTGTCCACAAAAACAGGCTCCCATTCATTGTCGATGGATTGAGACTTACTTCTCTGGTTTTTGGCTTTGAGAGAGAGTAGCTCATTCAAGTATTGATTGAATTGACTAAAAAATATGCATATATGTTTTATTTCTTATATATTGCTGCTTTTGCTTTGCAATGGGGGATGCGATTTAAAATTGCTGTGTCAAGTGTCAAAGCTAAACAGTTCAGTTCAATGCAAACAACCGTTCAGTCAGCACTTCCCTGTTAGAGCCACTTCCCTCTGCTGTTTGCTACTTATCTGTTCCACTGAAGCACATGAGGCCTTCTCACTCAAAAAGCACCTGAGGGAGACATGTGAAAGGAAAAACACTTCAAATAAAAATACTCTGAACTGTGTGGTAAATGTAGGCATCAATGTGAATTACTCTGGTTTGTCTGATTAGCACTCACACAATCCAATTCTAATTTTAACTCCTTGCTTTCTTCATTGGCAGCATCTAAGTAATCCCGTTAAGCTCTTGCGTAATGCTTCCTTACCAGTGTGCTGTGGCAATGTGCTGCTGCTTGCAAGAGTAATTAATGCCATTAATAGCCTTTCATTGTCTCCAATCGTGTGTTACAGGTTGATGAAGACTACATACAGGACAAGTTTAACCTGACAGGTTTGAACGAGCAGGTGCCTCACTATCGCCAGGCCTTGGACATGATTCTTGACCTGGAGCCAGGTGAGAATATCAAGGAAGTAGCTGCTCCAATATGAAATAAAATAAAAGCTCAACTCTTTAACTGCCTAAATCATTTTAATTTGACAGATGAGGAGCTTGAAGACAACCCCAATCAGAGTGACTTGATAGAGCAGGCAGCCGAGATGCTCTACGGGCTCATTCATGCACGTTACATCCTCACAAACAGAGGCATTGCACAGATGGTAGGTTATTACTTCATAATTTCACATTCTTACATACTCCATGACGTGAGTCAACAGTGATTTCTAAATGTGGTGTTCTCCACAGTTGGAAAAGTATCAGCAAGGGGATTTCGGCTATTGCCCCAGAGTCTATTGTGAGAATCAGCCAATGCTTCCTATTGGTAAGTCTGACTTTTGTTTAACCTATACATTGAAAAAAGTCTCCCTGGCACAAAACCCATGCACCTTTGACCTTTGTCAGTGGCTACGAAGACATAGGGCTGTTTTTAGTTCTCTATTGTGTGCCTCCTCGTCTCCTTCGTCTTCCTGCCTGTGACGCGGATAATCAATTGACCCTTGCCCACAATTGATCGCGCTATCTTGAGGGATGTATGGGGGTCAATGGTGTGGGACATACTGCACTGACTAGGGTAGGACATGCTCACCAACTGCCGACAGTCGGCTTGGTGTGTCAGGGCCTTTAGTCACCTCCTCTGCTCGCATCGTAGGTGGGAGGGACTAAGATGCAAACAGAAGAGGCAAGGAAAATAACTGATTATGTGCAAACTGAAATTTCAATATAGGTCCGCTTCGAAGTCCTTTCTTTACGCTGCCTTTGCTTTTTTACACAAACCAGACAACGCTGGCATAATGCTGCCTTGTTGTGTGATTTTATACAGCATGGCGGCATTCCAGAAGCAAAAGAGGCGTGATTGGCGTGGCCGGTAACACAACAGCCTTGACCTCTAATGTGACATGTAACATATGCATCAGCAGCATTTAATAAACAATAACAATGGCGTAACATTGATAGAAACAATTATTTACCATTACTATTACATGGCAGCTGATCTCGTCCTCTGCTCAGAGTGTGAAGAGTTCCTGGGCTTCATTGCTTTCCCAATTTGCATACAATTTCAGCTGCTGTTCTTCTCCTTCGAGTTAGCTGCTAACTGGTGTTAGCTGCTTTTTAAATGTACCGAGGGTGGGTCGTACAAATTACATGTCGTCAAAATGTCGTACCAGTCCCATCCATGGTCCTGTCCTCCTGGCTGTCACATTTATACAGACATCAATTCGGTGATCTTTCAACCTCCACCGCCGGCTTAAAGGCGAGACAACTCTGTACCCCCAATTAGCAATTGTACATTTTATAAAGAACGGTGAGGCAGAATAATGGCACAACACTCCTGCCTTGAACAAGCAGTGTAAAAGGTGCTTGAGAAATAAGAAGAGGGGATACTCACCAATCTCTTCTCTGCTGTAGGTTTGTCAGACATCCCTGGAGAAGCCATGGTGAAGCTTTATTGCCCAAAGTGCATGGATGTTTACACCCCCAAATCCTCCAGACATCACCACACAGATGGAGCCTACTTTGGGACAGGGTTCCCCCACATGCTGTTCATGGTGCACCCCGAGTATCGTCCAAAGCGACCAGCCAACCAGTTTGTGCCAAGGTGTGTTTGACCTGACACTAATGTTATTTATTGATAGCATTTACTTTAACTAGCATTAGCACTTTTAGCACTTTTATTAGTATGCTGCGACTAGCAACCAAAAGACAAATTTCCCTCAGAACGCTGTACAGCTATATATTTAACCTATTTCATATTTTTTTGATACCAACTAAAATGTATTGTCTAGTACTAAAAGTTGACACTATTTAATTGGTCAGATTTGTCTTATGTCATGATTTAAATTTAAGTTTGTTTTAATACCCATACTGAAACTTGTTTCGTCAGTGGTATCAAAAGATTTCATACAGTACTCAGCCCTTGACCGCAGCAGTAAAAAGAAATTGCCTTCTTCCCAGGAAGTGATTGTAATTCAAGTTTGTTTGTATTTTCAGGCTATATGGTTTCAAAATTCACCCGATGGCTTATCAACTCCAACTTCAGGCTGCGTCGAGTTTCAAGAGCCCAGTCAAGACAATTCGCTAGAACTCCGCTTTGACGAACACAGTGGACTTAAAAGACTTTGTTGTTTACTACTTGTTTGAAGGAATGGATTAAATATTCCCACTGAATGCCTGTACAGTTTCCCCAGCTCCCCTCTGTGTTGATAGACCCTCAGATTCATTTCTTCTCATTTAGTAAAACACTGTTACAGTTGAGCAGATTAGTTTTTCTGCATTAAACACGTACTCCTGATACAGTGTTTGACTTTAATTGATGTCAGTCCATCTTCTCACATTTTAGGGGTTGTTTCTCTGAAACAGAAAAGTGGCTTTAACTCGATGATAACGAAGGCTACAGTGCGCTTTGTGGCTTAATCACAGGTGATTGAATGTAATAGTGAATCTCGCCACCAGCCAGACAGGTTTGCCTTATCAGTGATACAGTCAGTCAGTACTTTGGAAAGTTGATCAGATCATATGAACTTGTTCTGCAGAACAGATTTTGGAATGTGCATTAGATTTTATTTGAATACAGCAATATGTGTAAATGTGATCAGGTGCTATTTCCAAGAGACAACAGATACCAAATTAGAGCTAGAGAGCAAGAACTTATCTTAAAAATGGACCTATGCTTGATTTTATTATTACGCTGTTCAGTTTTCTTGAAGTTCAGTGGCTGTTGTGTACTTTATTGTTTATGCAACTGTAACAATATTTTCCTGATAAGCCTGTGTTTGTAGTTTCATCATGTTTACATTATTATGGTATTTACAATCTTGACAGATGAGACTTTTTTTTCCTCTCTACAGTTTGGTGTTGATTGAATATGTGGCGACATCTACGGGGAAGCAAGTGAATTCCATTAAATATTTATTTCTTACCCAGATCTCTTTCTTACTTTTCAAGTCGTACGCTTCACAAACAGACAGCCCAATAGAATGCAAAATAATGCATATTTTATTTTTTTCATAAAAAGACAGGGATAAGTCACAAAGCAACAATATTTTCCATTTTCTAAAAACTATTTTCTTCATGTGAAATTCTACATTTTTCTTCCAGGAGAGGTTTCTGTTGTTGTCCATGTAGCTACAATACCAATGGCTTTTTTTGGGTTAAAAAAGTTTGCTAACAAACATGCTATCTAAAAAGGGATTTGTATATATTTTAAGCATTTTCTCTTCTATGGAAAAAAGCACAGGAAACAGCAAGTGAGAGCAATCTACTTCGACTATGTGGTAAAAAGGCTTTACAAACTTGGTTGATAATTAATGCAATTATTTCACATTGTGACATCTCTAGTTGGAAGCCTGGAAACCAGCTTGTGTTGAAACATCACAGTACATCAAATCACACGAGACGGTTCCTACTTTACAAATAAATTACTGTATAGTAGAACATGTAAAAAAGACAACTTGTGCTCCTATCAGAGAAAAGCCACATATACTGGGACAGCTGCCTTCACCTCTTACATGTGTGGTTACTGTGACAGACAAGCTTTGCATTTATTGACCTCACTTGGCTGAACATAAATGTACATTTAAAGTAGGGATGGATATACATATATATGGACATTCCTCGTACAATCATATGGAGGTCTGTAGTCTTACAAAGAATATCAAAACCTGAGATAAACAGACCGAAGCGTGTGAAACTTTTCTTGTCAACCAAATATATTCAAAGCATTAATGACATCTATGCTACTGAACAAAAACAGGGCTGAGGGAAGCACTCCATTGAAATCGTGAAAGGTGTCATAAACTTGGTGGACTACAAGAGGAAACGAATAAGAATGATTCAGGGTGTCAGGCAAGACAGGTAAGCTTAAGTAGAGACCTCAAAGTTCTGTAAACAGCACAATGGTAACCTACAATTTATAATGAGCAGATGGATGAATAACTTAAAAACCTCAAATTTTGTACAAATACTATAAAAGCATCAATTCTATAAAATAGAGAAATGTTTCAAAATAGATCCATATTTAATTCAAACTTTACAACAATGTGTAGGCTACTGGTTCCTGGCTGGTTAGGGAAGAAACGATTTTTTAGGTTTTTCTTTTTGTACCTGAGCAGTGAACTAAGCCAAACAACTGTCCAAATTTGAGCACAGAATATCTTTGTTCACATATCGATGTGAGGTATGTGATTTTTAAAAAAGACGTCTCTCCTGAATTAAATAGACAAGTAAACAACAACAAAAAAAATTCCCTTGAATGTAGTCTTAACGTTCCCCGAGCAGCACCAAGGGAATAAATGCTGATGATGGTGTCTAAACTACAATGGAAACAGTGCATTTGTATAAAATCAACAATGTAAAAACCACTAGGAAAATAAAAGCATTTAAAAGCAAACATAACTGAAATCACTCAACTGAAAATGCTGTTTTTTTGGTTGATTTTTCTTTACCAATAAAAGTCTTTTCACTAAGCTTTTCTTAACACCTGGATGAGTATTTGTGCAGCCCTCCTCTACCTACAACTGAAAAACAAAAATAAACAAAGATGATCTACTAAGATTTATCTACTCAGTTAGTTAGGTGCAGATTTATGAAATATTTCCTTTTGGATATGTGTGCGCAGATAGAGCTGGTCAGAGTGTGTCTGAGGTGGAGAGTCAAAGGAATAAATGCAGGTGGTGATTCAGTTACAATGCTGATGCTCCGCCGTCTTTCCCCTGCAAGACAGACATTGTGTGCACTTATATTAGTCTTAATGTTCAATAGATGGTTCTTCATGAAAACTTTGGACACAGCTAGGAAAGATGTTTTTCCCCATTTCCAGTCTTTATGCTAAGCTAAGCTTACGGTTTCTTAGCTGTAGCTTTGTATTTACTGGATGGGATGAGATCTGGATGGGATAGATATAAGAGTGGTACCAATCTTCTCATTTAAGTCTTAGCAAGAAAGCAAGTTAGGGTATTTCCCAAAATGTCAGACTCTTGCTTTAATCAGGGTTTCTAAACATTTTTCATTTCAAATTAACATACTTTTCTAGACTCAAATTTCTAGACTTCTTGGTAGATTTTTCACAAGATATTTGACATTTGAGTACAAATAGCTAGATGTTTATTAAGTAAATAAATGGTTTTAAATTAAAAAAATCAGCTGTTAAACTTAATGTTTACACACACAGCTATAAAGGTACAGTTTCCTTACACAGAAAACACAATCTATTTACTTTTCTGATAATTACATCATTGAATAAATGATAAATGTTCAGATAAACTTAGTATTTGGATTTTTGTGATGCTGTGTGTCTATGCAATTCAAACATTTTTTCTGCATTTTCTTTCAAAACAATTTGGCCATGGATGTCCCGATTTGGTACAGTTATAGAGGCAGAGCTCTTTTGCAGGCCGTGATGTATAGGCGTAGAGGCACAGGAGAGCGCGTTCAGTTGCAGCCATATTTCTTGACTTGCTTATGACAACATCAAGCTCGCTCTGGCCTGCACTCTCACACAGTGGTAAACATCTTGGCTGCACTGGCTGCCTCCTTCAGACGCCATGAAAAACACTCTGCTTGTGTGATCATTTTACTTTTTAGAAATTCTGAACTTCATATTTTAAAAAAAACAAAATAGGGTCAATAGTCTGGAAACACAAATTTTAACATGCTCTCCTTTCTTTTTTACAAAATTACCCAGACCTGGAAATGACTAAAATTAAATCCCATACTTTTCCATACTGCGTCGGAACAAGGGTTGTTCCTAACGACTTAAACTTAGAAGTTTAACAGACTAGTCGACTAGTCTAGAAGTAAGAAAACACTCATGCTGACTTTCCTTTAGTTATCTTAATAATAAGTTTAACCGACTGGTATTTCTGGTGCCGACTAGTTGATTAAACATTGCTATCCCTGCTGATCGGGCACATCCTTAGTAGGAAACCTGGTTTAATATTCTGTCTATTACGGGTCTGTGTCATGAGCTGAGGGTTTGTACCTTGTCTTGGTCGATGTCAGAGTCCGCAGTTATGACAATCCTCTTCTCCACACGAGTCTCCGTAGATCCACTTTTCACTACCTGGTGGAGAGAAGAAAAATATAATTGAGAGGCAAATAAAATAAAATAAAATGAAATCAATATAACACAGATCAAAGTTTGTCCTGCTGACCTTTGAGATGTGAGTGGTAGTGGTGGTGACTGTGGTGCCACTGGTGGTCTCTGAGCTAACAGTCTTGGAGCTGGACACAGTTGTGTTATCTTTGTCCTCGTCTGTCCCATCAACTGCCACCTGAGGGGAAAAAAAAAAAAGACCAAAACAGGTAGATTGAGTGATCATTTTTAGATAATGCGACCCTGAGCTTCAGCCAGGGAAGGTGCAGTGTTGTCTCATGCTCATTTTGGAGCCCCTGGCCTGGCCTGGTCCTCCCTGCACTGCTTGCACTGCATCTGGGCTGAGCAGGTGCTGGCGCCCCTACCTTTGAAGACTCATAGATGAAGGTCTTGGTTGGGACGATAGGGACCTCTGTGGTGGTGATGCCACTGGGTAAGGAGTTGGAGACAGCTGCGATGGTGATTGTCTGAGTCTGCACCAGAGGGGGCTGTGGATGGGAGCATAGCCCCATGAGTGGCTGTTTAACCAGACACTTTTCACCTCACCGCAACCAATTTGTTTCACACCATGCGTTCGCTGATAAGCCATTGCCTGTGTGGAGTGATTGCCACCACAACAGTCCTTTTTTCCCCTCCCCAGATTTGTTTAGGATTTTTGGAAATAACAGAATCACCTTGTTATTTCCCTTTCCCACCACCAACAAAAGAAACAGGGAGACAGAAAGCCATCATAGGCTGGAAAGTTCATGAAAGTTAATGTGTACATTTTGTGATGGAGAACAAAGCGCTAGTGTTACAGCAACCCATCACCATAGCTGAGAACACACCCCTGTGCAACACCTCTGCAGCAACCAAAGTGATATCCGAGCGAGGCGGATACTTCACTAGGCACTTAACAGATTCACAAGTTTTGTAGTGGTGCTGCAGAGGAGTGAGTGAGTGTGGCAGTGTTGAAATCACACAGAGGCCAAGCAGAGACAGAATCAGCGTCACCCTGAGGAGGCTACCTGGAAGCAGCGTACGACCTGTGGACCATCGCTCCTGAAATAAGAAGCTGGGGAAGATCCAACTATCTTTCCAGAGCCCTCTGACGCATCTGGATATGATTCTTCTTCCTCCTGGATCCCATCTAAAGCTCTACAGCAGGGGTCGAAGGGGGGAGGCAGCTGCGCCATCTCCACCTCTACGATGGGCACCAAGGAGGTCTCAAAAACTACAACCTCTTCCTGATCACATGACTCTTCCTCAAGTGGAGCACCGGGGGCTTCAACACTATCAGGCTCACTCTTGTGGCTCACAGTGGGACTTGGCACGCCTGAAAAGCCCAAATTGCTGCTGGTTTCCTCGTGTGCAGTCTTTGTCTCTGCACCACTGCAAAGGAGACTAAGGCACACACTCTAAAAAAGACACAACACAGTCACTACGGGATCATGGGCACTACTTACACAGATTATAATGCATGCATGTTAAAAATACACAACTGTATGGTATGTACAGTGCAGTATCCATTTCATGAGGTGCTACAGCTTTTCTTTGGCTTGTATGAAAATTTATATGACAGAAACAACAATTTTTAATGCCACAGCTTTATGGGTAACTTTAGTATGTTTCAAGCTGGACTCTTTTTTACCATGTTATTGTGTACTGTCGAGGTGACTAATGGGAGCAACAACTTTTGAAACTGGTCCAGGATTGAGTGAGGCAAAACTTGCTGCAATTTACTCCTTGCAGGCAACTGAGCACTGTCAATGTAAGTCCACTACAAGTGCTCGTTTTTAGCACTGACAGGCTCAGATTGTCATTACAAGTGTCTGACAACATTATGGAAATGATACCCTACAGAGACAGACCTTTTTACTAAAGACTAAGATCCCCTTTGTGTCACCAGAGAAAGCCCCAAAATTGCAATAGCCAAACCCACCAGACTCCATTCAAATAAACAGCAATTTTGGCGCGTATAGTGCCAGCGTATTTTTACTTCTAACTGCGTGAATTAAGGGTTTATTTCAACCAAACCAGAGTTGGTGGTTGGTGGAACAGCAGAGAGACAAACAAGATGGTATTTGTGAGTTCTATTTTGCTTCTGTCAGCTTTGAATTTAGTGTATTTCAAAGTGATAAAATTAGAGCTTATTTAAATGGAGTCTGGTGGGTTTGGTGATGGGGATTTGGGGTGTTTCTGGTTACACAAAAATGATTTTCACCTTTTAACAAAAAGGTCTATCTTGGTGGCGATCCTTTCCAAAATGTTGTTAGAAACTTCAAATAATATGAGCCCAGCAGTGGCAAAAACAAGCACTTCTAGTGGACGTAAGTTGACAGTGCTCAGTTGTCTGCATTGGAGCCTGTTTCGTCTCGCTTAACCCTGGACCCATTTTTAAATATTGTTGTTCCGATTAGTCACTAAGACAAAAAAAACAAAACAAAACAGGGAAACATAAGAACCAGGTAAAAAAAAAAAAGAAGAAGAAAAAAGAAAAGAAACAAAGTTGACCCTTTAACACCATCTTATTGCAGACCACGTACATATTCCTTCATGGCCACAGTGTGCCCTTTTCCTAACTGTTCCACATGACTCATGCTGATAAGTCACCAAATAAGATGGATACTGAATACAGGTGTTGCTCCATATTCTTTCTTTCATCTGTGAATAAAACTCAGCATGCATCAGAATGAAATAGATGTTGTTTTGCTTGAATATTCTTTCAGTCAGGAGGGACTGCATAAATGACACGCCACTCACACTGCTTTGGCTCAACAGTCATCCCCTAAAACATGATTTAATATCATTTAAATAAAATCGTAAACAATCATATCAACTGTATATAGAATGCCTTTTATTCTTTGGTCAAAGTTGATTGTCAAAACGTCATGCAACAAGGAATCTCTTGCAGTTGCTACATACTGCCTCGCCAAATACTGGTGAAGGACAAAGAGGTTAATAGGTATTACAATAAAGCTGCCTCGAGGTCTCCCATCACAGGAAATACCATACTGTGACAAAGAACGTTGAGAAGTTTCCCAGTAACATGACTGCCATCTTCTAGTGCTTACTTAATGTGGAATCAGGAAAAAAGTTTGTGTATCCAAAAGTCACATCACAGTGATCAGCTTAGACATTATCCTTTAACAACCGACAATATAAATGTACCTCAAATTGTGTATAAAAGCAGTGATATGCTCAGACATTGAAAGCCTTTGGATAAAAGTCAGTTGTTACGCTGTATTGGTTGATTTAAAGTCCAAAAAACAACACAGAAAATGCAAAAGAGTGGTGGCTTGATTGTCATTTCCAGTCCTAATCAACGAGTCTTTGGAGAACAGGTCTGTTTCTGGCTGGAGAAACCAGGTCAATTGTGCAGCAGTGGGAAACAGAAGCAATGAAAGTCTTGTCCCACAGACGCCAGAAAAAATAGGGGCAGCTTCTCAAGTGGAGCAGAGGATGAGAGATGAAGAATGCTACGGTGATGTTGAAGAGGAGGCGAAGGAAGGAGAGGCGGAGAAGAGAAAGCTAGAGGTTGATGGGTAGATGGACTAGGTGCGGTCTCCGCGGGTCACACTCACACCTGTGTGGGATTTCCGCAGGGTCGAGACGGCCCCTCAGCTGCGTTTGGAGTAGAAGTCGAGCAGGGGGCCGCGAGGGAGGCGGATGACAAACTGAGGGGGGGGAGGAGGAGGAGGAGGAGGAGGAGGAGGGAAGAGAGATGACAGGAAGGACTTTTGAAATGTTTGCAATGACCAAAAATTAACTGAAATTTGTAAAAGCTAGAGCTGTACAATAACTGATTACTGAAAACTACAAAATGTGATTTTTTTTCAGGAATTTATGTTGTCCAGAGCACAGAAATGTTAACGGCACATGCATTTTAACATGCATCTTTGCATTGTTTCAACATCATTTTTTTTTATAAGAAGACAGAAAGCCATCCACACTTGTAGTACCTTTTTGAAAGGGGTGCATTCCATACATTTTTTAGATGGATCTCAGCAGCTGATGTCAACAGTGTCAGCGCATGATTTGGGCCTCTAGCTCGAGGATGTTAGACTGGTGCAGATGAAAGGTATACCCTGCAGGATTTTCCTAAAAAACTATGTATAGACGGATACAAAAGTAATTCCTCTCAAACATCACTATAAGTGTGTAGTGGTGTATTTTTCGGCAGAGACTCTGACCTCTGCCTGTATTTCTTAATGTTTTTAAAATAATTTTTCTGTGGTTTGGATATTCCTAGGCACAGCGTGCAGGTGAGGTCAAGAATTAATAAAAAGATAGCAACCATGTGCCAGACCATAAGCAGCCCGCATCCCACAGGAAGCTACAAAAATCGCAGACACAGCACTGAAAACTAAAATTACTGCCTTGCGGTTGTCGTCTCTGCGAACCAATCAAGTTGCAGTTACAATTTACATCCAAAGACGCAAAGACTCTACATATTCTAAAACATGGATGTTTTATTCACATCTTCAACCCATCAGCACCGAAGATCTAAACAATCAGCACAATTTCAATTTGGGCAACGAACATTACTATTACCAATTTGGTATCTGAACAAACATCTCCCCTTCTGTTCCTGATATATAAAGGTGTTTTTGCAGAAAAATATGATGTCACAGTGAAGCTGACCTCATGACCTTTGGGATATAAAATGCCATCACTTCATCATTTTTTATTCTATTAGTCATTTGTGCGAAACTTTGTCACAATTAGCGTGAATTCTTGAGTTAGTGCCAAAAAACAGTTCAATTGCTGAGTCCAATTGGAAGTTTGTGCCAAATTTGAGGAAATTCCTTCAAGGCCTTCTAGAGATATTGCATTCACGAGAATGAGACGTACGTACATATGTAACTATGTGGACAAACATGGATGGACAACCCGAAAACATAATGCCTCCGGCCACAGCTGTCGCTGACATGAAGGCATAAAAACACAAAAGCAGATAGGCGAAACACCCATCAGACAAAGCTTGTTCCCAAATGAGAGTGAATCTGGGGTTGGCTTTCGCTTGTACTTTTGCTGGCAAGCGTTTTTTTTTTTAACAATAACCAACAACACCTGCACAGTAGACCTTTAACTACCCAGTGTAGTATTGTGTTTGAGTGGTAAGTGTATTTTATCTGTCTGAAGGCTGCTGCATAGCAGTTATGAACTGAAAACTTCACTAATTTGAAATAACAGGTCAAAGTAACCAGCGATATTATCAGTGTTTACTCTTCTCATAGTTGGGTCAATACACGATTGAAGGTTAAGTACAATGACAAACTGGCTTGTAAAATTGAGCACGAACAGTATTGTGTCCACTCCACTGGGCAAACAACATTTGACCGGTGTCATATTGTTGAATGCTTACATCAAAAATGTTGTACAATTGTTCTGATTCATCTCCTCACTACAGACGCTAAGCTGTCAGATTTGCTTTGCTTTGATTTCAACTCTAATGCATCCTGACAATATGATTTACTTGGGGCCATTTATCTCCAACTGTAAAAATGCTTTGTGTCCAAACAGTTAAGCTGCAGTTGTTAATCTCTCGCCAAAAGGCATGTGAAATGAACCTCAGTAGATTACACTTGTTTGTGTGACAGCAGCTCAGATTGGGGGTATGTTTCTACTGCGCTGAATAGCTCTCATGTAATCTTTTTAACTGCAACCTAACTATTAATACCAATTATTATGCAATTATATTAGTTTTATTGTGTGATCCTGTGATATCTACATTATTTTTTAAAATAGGGAGAGTGGGACAAAAACTGCTAATACAACTGTGAATGAGGCCTTGTCTCTTTATGGAAAAACAAATGTGACTTGGAGGGAGCAGCAGCCAAAAAAGGTCAAAGCAGTGTGAAAAGAAAGGTGAGCAAAGCATAAAGTATTAAAAGCAGAAAGGAAGCTCATCAATGAAGGTGGGACAGAGGAGAAGGGGAAAAGGTAAATTCTGCTCATTGTCAGCTGAACGTGCAGAAATTAATCACAGAGTCATGCGCTAAATTTTCAACGTCAGGTCTGTCAGTCATGCAATACAAACACGTCAGGGTTCAGAGGCATCCGAGGCAGATGACATGAACCAAAGTGAGTTCTCAGAGAGTGGACAACCTGTCCCAAAGATGCCTCGCCCACATCAGTCTTTTAGTGACAGAACAAAAGTACAGACCCTATTCAACAAGTCCTACAGCATTCTTCATACACATGCATGTGCTGCATACCACATGCTATCTCCTTGAATAGGTCCGTACATGCACACACGATCCTCCGCACTCAGACTGTAAGAGAACCAGGAATGACAACTGGAAGAGCCTGATCCCTTCTTCTACCAATTTCTCTTGTATGAATATATTCATCATGTAAAAGAATAGAATCCAATGCAGATATTCAAACTTCAAAACAAACGTTTACAAATTACTATCAAACAAGACATTAGCAAGAATTTCAGGTTCTTCTGTTCCATCATGAATCCATGCACACTGCTCATACCAGTGCATTGTTTTCCAATCGAGTACAATCATCTCTGAGCCATGGAAAACAAACATGATAACGCAAGTATAAACACAGCTTTAACCTAGTCAGCTCAGGAATTGTTAGTCTCCATGATAATTTTCTAATTCAGTTTAAATTAAAAATGTTTTGCTCGGTTAGCTCCAATTCCTGAACAGGCAGACTCAGGTTAAACCAAGTAAAAAGGATTTGGTGGCGAGTGGTTTTTGTAGGAGACTTACCCCATCTGCACTGGGCAGAGGTTGACCATTGATGCCCAGGGTGCGGAACGGAGAGTGCGTGGAGAGGCGCTTGTCCCACTCACTGGGCCTGCTCTCCGGTGTAGCTTCCATGAAGTTCCTCTTCAGCTCACTGATGTTGGCGTGATGCCTGAGCAGGTCCTCCTGAGGCTTTTCGAAATCCTATACAGAGGAAAGTCGAGAGGGGAAAGACCGTGCGGAGGGGGGGGAGGGCACCAGGTAATTGGAGTACAAAAACAATAAAGGGAGAAAAAATAAGAAGTGAAGAGAAGATGGAGGGTGAAAGTGGGATGGGGAAGGGAAGGGAAGATGAAGGTGATGTTCGTAGGTGGGAGAGATTAACAAACAGAAAGGACAAAGACAAGTGGAGAAAAAAAGTTAGATCATGTTTTCTATTGTTTTTATAAATGTTGTGTTGACTTATTGCTGATTAAATAAACAAGCAGAAGCAGGGTTAATTGGTGATTCTAAAGGAATACAAATTAGAAGGGCCCATTAATCATGATGACCACATTTAGTAGTTTCTTGAGAGATTATTAACGACTCCTTTTCAAAATGAAAATCAAGTCTGGTGGCTGATTCATGAGACCAGACTTTGGTTTATAAAGGGAAGATTCAGAAGAGCCGGTGTCGTGATTTTTGGAGTTTGGACGGGAAGGAGCTATAAGTTACACAGCACAGCATTAACCCTCTGAGACCTGTGGGGCCACCGACGATCCCAAATGACATTCCTTGTCAGTAGCGTTTAAGAGTCTGTCTAAAGCTAGAGTTATGATACTGGTATCATATGAAACTAGTAGACCTAGCCCGATGGGGTGTACCCCATAGTGAGATACCTAACTCATGTTATCAGAGAACCAGGGTTACGTTTGTAACCTAAAGATTTTTGCATGCAGTAAAAAACATGTTATTTTTGCCTATTGCCAAAAACTGTGATTACTTCAGAAAAACCACAGCATGCATTTCTCTACGGAGTTCCTCAAGGTTTTGGGCCTTAATGTGGTCATTTGTGGGATTTTTTTTCTACAATTTTCATCAATGCTCGAGTGGCAAAAAATGCTTATGTTTGCAACCAAAATACTGAATCGCCACCATATTGTTCTAAGTCCTTACACAGTCTTAATTTTAGATGTTCAAATAGACTCATAACCTAAACGCAATGTTTATAACAAATTTGTGACATGCAGTTCTGAGCTGCATCTTAAATTAATCTTGCTATCTGCTATCTTCCCTTAAAAGAGAAAAAAATGGGTCTGTGGTGGGTCTCAGAGGGTTAGTGGTCTACTATCGCATAGCATGTGGCCTGCAGTGAAACATGTCGTGAGAACAGGCTGCAAATCAAAGAGCAGGAGAGGTGATGAGAGTAGACATGGAACAAGTTGTCAAAGATGAAGCCTCAGTAGAAATGGAAACCTGTTCATTTAACACAAATGAACAAAAGCAACAGAAGCAGCACTCATTTGGCAACATTTAGCACCAAGTTGATCTTTTTAGAAATCTGCAAGATACCGACTCCCATTTTACCAAACATACTGCAGACAATGATTCTAGTCAACGAAGAGAAGAGTTGACTATTAATTATGACTTACTGTGGTGCTAAAGAGCAACTTAATGATAAGTGTTTATCCAAACGTCATTCCTTTCACATACAACAGCAAAGACGTATAATTATTTTAATTTTAACTACTATGGTCAGAAGATTTTATTGGCATAACTGCTGAGAAAGTGCAATGCGTTACTGGCAAGTTAGAAAATGAGACGGAGGTAAAAGAGCAAAAGCAGGAACAGGAGAATACTGATGATCTGGAAAAACAATTATAGAAAAATGGAGCTGCTTATGAACTAGGGCTGCACGATATTCAGTGACATTAATTGTTGTGTTAACGATATTACTTGCGATAAATAAAGATATTAAAGTTGCTGGTTGAGTTATTTCCAACACTCTGAACTGAGCACTAAAGGCGCCAATAAAAAAAGAATATTTATATTTCAAAGTGCAGTTTTCTACAATACTCTCTTTCAACTAACCAAAAAAGTCCCTGAAAGCAGTATCGCTATCTTTGACATCACGATAATGATAAAAAATGATATATTGTTCAGACCTAATGTGAACAGTGACAGTTTAAGGAAGCTATGAACGGCAGCTTCCTTAACAATTTCATATATACCAATGTAAGTGGAAGAATACCTGTACATAACCAAATACTTGTTTGTTGTACATTCAACAGCACTCTCCTGAAACAACTGGATTAGAGTTACGTTGCAACACACACACACACACACACACACACACACAAACATTTATCATGTCATCTAAAGCCACTCATTAACGCTGGTGCAAAAAGTGTGAATCATGCCACATGCAAGCGTGATATTAAAGAGCGGCCGTTGTGCCAAAGAGCAAGAAAATACAGACAGAGACTGACGTCTCCAAAAGGGATACAAACCTCCAACATTAAAAGGCTATGTCTTATATAAATTGAGTCACCCTCAATTTTCTTAGCTCTTTTCTGTGAAAAATGAAAAGAAAAAAAAGTGTGGGTTTGTTTCAGTTCCCCTGTGTGCTGGCATTGAGCTGCCATACGTTGGACATGCATACTATGAAATTCACTACAGTGTTAATACAACAGACAAACAGAGCTGTGAGGAGTCTGCATGCAAAATAGTCTAAGACAAAGTGACCATAAAGGCCAAACTGCAATGTACTAACAAAACAATAAACCTAAGACTAAAGAGGACTGACTTAAGATTTCTACTCTCATAATGAGAAAGAAAAACAAACAGTGGAGTGACAGAAATGTGATAAAACACCAGTTATCATGCCACTTTTTTTAGTAAAGTGCACAAATCTATAGTCATGCATGTGTGCATTCCAGGGTTTACAACAACAGCAAGCAATGAGAGGAAATGAATGCCTTTCCAACAGCTTATGTGTAAAAGCATAGTCTCTTCACATTACTGTCGTATTATTCTATTAACACCAGGTACTCAATGTTTACATATTCCATTTATTCATTTCTCTACCTCTTAAAATATATTTTATGTGCATCGAACCTGATGTGGATTTCATTTAAGACCTAGCCGTATGGAAGCACAACATGAGAAGAGGGTGAGATTAGTCTTTTGGATGAGAAGCTCGAGATCATCAGAATGGAGGTGGAGAAATGGCTGCGGAAACGTATACTAGGCTAAAGAGTCTGACCTTTCGCATTCGCACCACCTCCGTGATCGACACCTCAGACTCGTGCTAGCCCGGGGAGGAGAGAGGGACACGAGTTAGCATCCTCTGCTTGTCGGCTTTACATCTCAGCCATAGTGGAAACAAGTCTTCTACAAAGGGGCCACATGCAAGAGGCCAGCGTCTCACACTAACCTGAATGTCCCCATTGATGGTGGATATCAGTGAAGAGTCTACTTCTCTCTGGTCCCTCCACACTGCTGGCTACAGCAGCAAGAGACACAGTTCACACTCAGACACAGAGAACAATCTCTGCTCCCTACTTAAGCATCTTTTATCATCAAAGACTATGAAGCAATATCATTTAAAACAGGTCTTCATATTTTATCATTATCTACAATCAAACTACCCAGACAATCACTATGATGACACATTATAAATAATTTGTTGGTGTTTCACTGGCACCAGCTATCCTATTAGGAATATATGGTTTACACACACATATGATGCCACATTTTTCCTGCACATTAACATTTAGATTGAAATTACAGCACAAACATGTAAAAGATTGATCAGAGTGAAATTGAATACCTTGACCTCAGACACAGCCTCGATTTTGGAAGGCTCCACCGCTTCTACGGTAACCTCCAGCTTTCTGTCCTCTTGGCGGCTGGTCTTGATTGGAGTGGAGGTCTGGGGCTGATCGAGAGGAGCCATTGGGATCCCTGCCTCGGCCAGAGCAGCCTGGGAGAAGACCGGAGCACTGACAGGACGGGTGCCCCTCTGTGTGCTCACCACTAGGCCAAAAACAGACGGAACAGAAACGTAAATAAAAGGAAATATGTTTCAGTACAGTGCGTTATGGTTGGATAAGATTGTATGCAGATGATCAAATCCCCTAAGTGAGTAAAAACACAGTGAAAAAGTTAAACATACAAATACAGTTAACACACAATAGCGCATCTTCGCAACATCATACTTACAGTCTCACGTCGATGTGATCAGAAAAATGCACACACTGCAGGGTATACCTACCTCATTTGTTGTGTTTAGTCTCTTTTAAAAGGACAAGTGCAAGTCAGAACCTGAGGTGGGCCAGAAGCGAATATCCAAAAAGTGGTATGAGAGCAAAAGCATGGATTAGTTCTTGTTGCAATCTGATGAAAAATGCAAAGGCAGATGACGTTAGGCTGCAAAAGAGCTGCCAGCTCAATGTGGTTGAACTGGTGAAATGCTGAGATTCTGCTAAACAAAGCACGGCAAGAGGTTCTTGAATGATGGTGAATGTGCATCTCTGCTCACATTCTCTTGTGGAGCGAAAGTCAGTGTATCCTGTAAACAGGCTGCAAATGTTGCCAAGCGTTTCATGGAGCGAGGAAAGCGCAACCACGCGTGTGAGAAGCTCATCTGCAAAAAAGATAACAAACCCAAACAGGCGAGAAATACCTGTCTCCTTGAGGCCACCATCTAGTAGAACAAACCAATCAGCATTGCCATGCGTTTGTGTGACTGGACGTCTTTCCTCCAGGATCCGTTTCTCAAAATATGGTCTCTGCTCAGAAATAGCAATCCTCGTTTTGGCCACAGCAGTTGGAGCTCTCACTGCTGCTGGGAACTGGACGTGTTGAGGGGCAGCGACTAATACAAATACACAACCAGGTGTTATTGTGGAAATACCGTACAAAATATTGGGACATCTGCGTTTATAGTGAAATAGACTACCCTGCTAAATTGAAGTAAAACTGTTACCTAAATTTAACAAACTCAAATAAAAATGTTTGCATGTAAAGGCTGGGCTAAATCATTTTTTATTATACCTGATTTCTTAGCGGCCACATCCAGAAGAATAAACCAATCATCGTCCACCTCTCTCACTGCTGGACGTGGCTTCTGCTGCACCACCTTCTCCTGCTGCCACCTCTCCTCCACTATGGTAACTCTCTTCTGCACTCTCTGCTCTACAGCTGCAAACTCTTTAGCTGGTCTTACTTCAGGATATGTACGGATACGCTGATCCACAGCCACTAATGCAGAATACACACAAAGCTTTCTCAGTCAGATCACAATTTTTCTTAAACGTAATGAACATAGTAAGATATGTAGTAAAACTGCAGTGAAAACACAGACACCATGTTGTTGTCTGATTCTGTCTCACAGTAGCAGCCGCACAAAAACAGCAGAATACCTGGAACTTTTGCTGCAACATCTAGCAGCACAAACCAGTCATCATCCACCTGTCTCGGCTGCGGTGGTTTAATCTCCACCAACTTCACAGAGGGCCTCATATCTTCTATGATGACTGGTTTTGGTTTAGTAGCTGGCATCACATCCACAATACGCCTAACCACAGCAACTAACACAGAGAAATAAGGGTAAATAAACTTGATGCAAAATTATTTGATATATTTAATACCTCTATCATTTTTACTATCATATGAAATTTCATATTGTGATATTATTTTAGGCCATATCTCCCACCCCCAGTTCAGTCACCACTCAACTGAACTTTTTAGCACAGTGTATGCAGACACTTTGGCAATGAAAGGTACCTGGCGGTATGACAACAGGCTTTTCACGGATGATGTCAAACAGGACAAACCAATCATCTCCTCCTTCTCTCTCGGACGGCGGTGCAACTTGTGAAGGTCTAATTTGAGACAGACGTGTCTCATCTTGCCTGCTGTCCACACCAATTATCATCTTCTTCCACGTTGTGGTCTCTGTGGTTGTCACCTCAAGATCAAACATCTTCCTCTTATCCGGAATAATCTCAACAGGAGTAACTAGCACAAACAGACAGAGTCAATGAAGCTGAGCGACACAAGTATATCTGCTGAACATAGCAAGTTACAAGCTGCAGAAATTGGCAAAGGGTAAAGTCTTTAAATATAACGCTTCAGAGTGAATTCTGATGGGGTGCAAACAAAAGCCCCTTTCACACATGCATTGCAAACCTGAAATTATCTAGACATCACACGGAGGAGCTGTGTGTGAGGACGCAAATGTCCGAATCAGTTGGATCGGATTAAACAGACTTAACATTGCCCACACTCTTTAGTAAAATAAGTGTAATGTTTGATTGACGAGTGAATAGAGCAGGTAGTTGTCCGGAGAATTCACAGCTAACGAGTTGACATGTTGATGACATTTCTATCATGTGGCTTGAGTAAAATTGGAAGAAAGCAAACATCCGAGGGTGAAGAACAAGGGTCATTTTCTCGAACACGATAACGAAAATGTCTAACTGGAGAGATGACGAGATTCTGGAACTTCTGCTGTTAAGGGCTGAAGGCAAAATCTTCAGACAAATTAAAGGAATGGCAAGAGATTCTGTTGTGTATGACCAAATTACGAACCAGCTATGGGACTGAAGTGTAATCCGTATCACGTCATGCCTCCTGCACGCTCTACCCAGGCACCACCCCTCGCCTAAACAAAACAGAGCATTCCCAGTAGATGAGAATAGACAATTTCCTGTCGTGTGCTACATGTGTGAAAGGGAAACTCGGGACAATGTCCAGACCTGCTTCACCAGATATTGTCCGGAGTTCATATGAGAAAACGGCTGTATATTATATACCTGATGGTGCTATGACTGCCTCTTCACGAACGGCATCAAACCACACAAACCAGTCATCATCTCTCTCTGGCAGCGGCTGGGAAGGCTGCAGTCTAATCTGGTCAAGATCAACCTGCTGCGGCTTCTGCTCTATGCTTATCACTTCAACTCGAGGTTGAACACTTGGATAAATTTGGCTTGGTATTGCCGGAGGAACTGAAAGCAAACAAATTATACTCAAGCTTCAGAAAAAGTGAAGAAAGACCTCCTATTTATACAGTTTAACAACAGAACTAATCTCTGAATCGTCTGAGTGACACCCAGTTCACTTGTAAGATAATCTGTTTTGGTGTGATAATATGTGTAAAGAAAAACCAAAGAAGGCTGTGGGTACCTGGAGGTATGTAGGCAGTTCCTCTGGGAACAACATCCAGCAAAAGAAACCAGTCATCATCTCTTTCGATGACTGGCTGGGATATTTTCTGCTGTGCTCTTTCCTCTGTCTGCACCACCATCTCTTCAACTACGACCTCCTTCCTGGACTCTACCGTTCTCATTTCAGCCACAGTAGAAATTCTTTCTTCAGGATAAACCTGAACATACTCGGCCTTTGTAACTAATGACAAACAGAATTATGAATGAGTATTGTAAGACATTTATAACGAGCTTGCAAGTCTTAATGGCGGGCCTTGAGTGAAAGTCGACAATACCTGGTGGCACATATGATGGTTCTCTAGTGGGAACATCCTGCAGCACAAACCAGTCATCTTCTATCTCTCTCACAGCCGGTGGCAGTGCTACTACTTGCTTCACATCCAGCACTTGATCTTTTTTTGTGTCTACCACCACCTTCACTCTTTCTTCTCTCTGCTCAATGGTTGTAATTTCAACTACAGAGACACGTTCTTCTGGGGACACTTCAACACGCTCTGCAGCAGCAACTAAGACAAAAGAGATGAAAATCTTCAGATGCTTTGGACAGTATAGGGGATTTAAGGATAAGAGCGTCTGCAGAGCTCAGGATAATTGCTTGCTTTGATACAGCTGTGTAGCAGTACGAGGGATTTTCACAATACCTGGTGGTACGTATGGAGTTTTTCTGGGAATAACATCCAGCAACACAAACCAGTCATCATCTCTGTTTATCACTGGCTGTTGTGGGATTTCTTGTAGGTATCTTGGTATCTCCTTTACAACTTCTACCTCTCTAATCTCTTCCTTGGTTGCAATTTGAGCCACAGAGACAAAACTTTCTGCCTCCATCTGGTCACTTTCCTTCAGGGTAACTGCTATGAGTAAAGTCAGGAGAGAGTCTTTTAACACAAGCAGTGATACACACTTCCTGTATGCGCAGAATTAAGTACAACAGAGCCAGCATTTTAGCAATACCTGGAGGTACATATGGAGCTTCTCTGGGAACAACATCCAGCAACACAAACCAGTCATCATCTCTGTTTATCACTGGCTGTTGTGGGATTTCTTGTAGATATCTTGGCGCCTCTTCTATTATCGTTCTCTCTTCAGCTACTGCTTCTCTAATCTCCTCCTCGGTTGCAGTTTGAGCCACAGAGACATATACTTCTGTATCAATCTGGTCTCCTTCCTTCCAGGTAACTGATATGAGTAAAGTCGGGAGAAAGTCTTTTAACACAAGCAGTAATACACACTTCCTGTACAGCACATGACAGCCAACGTTTTGAAAAGCAGTACAGGTATTTTTTTCAGCAGTACCTGGTGGTACATATGATGTTTCTCTGGGAACAGCATCCCATAACAAAAACCAGTCATCATCTCTTTCAATGAGAATCTGTGGTGGTGGGATCTCTGGTATACGCCATACTTCCTCTTCTCTTGTTTGTGTCTCTTCTACTGTATTCTCAGTTTTCTCCTGAACTGTTGTAATCTCAGTCTCTGAGGAGAAATACTTGCCTTCATCCACCTGAGCACGTTCCACCCTGGTAACTAATGATGACAGTAAAGACACAGAATCTTTGAACATGGGAGCAAACATGCAGTGTCAAAAAGCTCACAGTAAAGCTGTAATTCCACTGCATGGTACAGCTGACTGACCCACTTCTTTTGGTACCAGGTACTTTTTTTTACGTTATAGTAACCCCTTAGTGTGGGTGGAATTGTTAGCTGATTGTCAAAGTGGCGCCGCGTGAAACTGCTATGACATAATCTTGAGCGTGACACAAACATACAAAAAATGGAGGATATCAAAGGGATTGTGTTCTTCTCAGCATGTGTCTGTTTGTCACAGCAAGGAGAAAGACTTTGTATCAGAAAAGGCTGAGGGCAGTATTTCTTTTAAATGTTTAAAATGTCAATCAGTTGACAACAAAAGCTTGGCTATTCAAAATGATGGGTTTGTACAGGACAGTGTTTTGCATATGGCAATTCAGTGGTGTTTTAGCTCCACCTTTTACCAGGTACTATCCACAACTTCTGCTAATGGAAAATGAGTTGAGTCGAGTAAAGCTGAGTCGTACCATGCAGTGGAAAAGTGGTCTAAGTGAAGCGGGACAAGGTGTGGTGGGTTATTCTCACTTGCAAGAAACTATTTCCAAAGTATAGATATTACTAAGACTGCAAATCTATCGTCAAGCATCAAAAACACCTCACTGCAGCGGGTGACAAACCCATTTTCAGGAAAAGCACAACAAACTAGTTGGTTAATAGGTTAATGTTGGTGTTTTGGTGCACACAGGCACACGAGTTAGATGGTTATGAGTGAGGTTTCAGGTTTGAGAGGAGTGCTCTTTGTGGGTTAGTCTGTTCATCTGATGACTGAAAAACAACCCTTTAAATTCCCACAAACGTTCTGTATGCACCCAAAAAATAAAGGCTACGGCTGTTTGCTATGATACCCATATTTTCACCCCTTCTGCAAAATTAGGACATCTACATCGACCAAATTTGCTGTCTGCTACACTGCCATTACTTTCACTCCACTGTTTCTGCCTGAGTATAACCCAGAATTAAACCGAGCACAGACCGACCTTTCACAAATGTCAAATGATATTTATAAGAGAAAGGGAAGGGCAATCAAAACAAACCTGTTAACTTCTCCTTTCATTGAAAAGAAAACAGGGTGAAAGCAGTTGACTTCTCACTTGTTAGCGTACACAGCACACAAAAAGTATTCGAGATGAAAATGGTAGTGATATTAGCGAGATTAGCAGAGGTCTGAAGCTGGTTGCACAATGCCATACTGTACCTGGTGGCGTGAAAACAGCTTTGTACGGAGGGCGGTCAAAAACTATGTACCAGATGTCCTCATCTGCCACCTGAGATTGATCCTCAGCCTGACGCCTCTCTGTAACTTCTCCCTCAGTAATCTCCTCCAGTGTTTCTGTCTTACGCCATGTCCCCACTGTTTCTAGCCTCTCCTCTGATATTACACTGCGCTGTACCTGCGCATCTTCCACAGCTTCCTGTTTCTGCCCTCTCTCTTCTACAATAGTGACCCTCTTCTTAGTCCTACGCTCCACCTTCTGGTATGTAACAACAGAAGTGGTAGTGGCAACATCTGAAGATCCTGACTTCAACTCCTCCGTCACCTTGTCTGTCCATTCCTTTTCCATCTGACGTAGCTTTTCTCTCATGCTATCATCTGAAAGACTCTCGTCTGTCACTTCTTTTTCACTCTTCTCCTTCAGCACGACTTTCCATTCCTTTTCCATCTGACGTAGCTTTTCTCTCATGCTATCATCTAATAGACTCTCTTCTGTCACGTCTTTTTCACTCTCCTCCTTCACCACGACTTTCCATTCCTTTTCTATCTGACGTAGCTTTTCTCCCAAGCTATCATCTAATAGACTCTCATCTATCACTTCTTTTTCACTCTCCTGCTTCACCACGACTTTCCATTCCTTTTCTATCTGAACTAGCTTTTCTCCCAAGCCATCATCTGACAGACTCTCTTCTGTCACTTCTTTTTCACTCTCCTGCTTCACCTCGACCTCTTCCTCCTCTGGCAACAAGCCCTTCAAAAACACCTGCTTTATCTGCTCTTCCAATTCATCTACTTCACCCTCTTTTGTCTCGACTGTGCTCACGGATTTCCTCAAGACGTTTTCTGTGATACGTTCAGCTTGTATTTGTTGCTGCTGCTCCAATTCTCTCTCTTCCTCTTTTAACTTCTCTACCTCTTCCTTACCCAATTCCACTTCTATTACTTCCTGAAGTCTTTCTGCCATCTCATCCACTTCTTGGAGCCTTTCCTCTAAATCCTTAACTTCTTTCAGCCTCTTTTCCAAAACAACTGCCTCTTTCAGCTTGTCTACCATGGTCACAGTTTCCTGCAGCCTCTCAATGACCTCCACATTGGTCAGGTTCTGCTCTGCGACACGCATGCCCTGCTCATCCTCCTCCTGGAGCTGGAACTGAGTTTGGGGAGGGACTGGGAGGGAAAGCAAAACAATAAGCCATGAAAGGAACTAAAATGTGATTCAATTTACAGGCTGTTTTTGTACCAACAGTGCTCAAACTCCATACGTCATATTTCCATACATAGAAACTCACATGGTTTGTCAACACGCTCGAATGAAGATAGGCTGAAGAATCGGTCAAAGTAAAGGTACCAGTCATCTTGCTGTGTCAGTGCTGGGAACAACAGCCGGTCCAAAGAGCTTGTTTTCGCCAAGCTGAGCTTAGCTGACAACATCAGAGAAACAACACTGAATAATTTCGTACCAGATAAGCACACACACACACAAATCTCAAATTGTAATACGGGGCAGAGTAGCACCCCATGCTCAGTTTTTGTAATAGCCTTTGAAAATGCAGTGTACATGTAGTGTTATCATTCATTAGGTGCACACTGGTCACAATAAAATAACATTTAGATGCAAGATCTTTAAAAGCCAAGCCAAAACGAGAGATAGAGAATCTGGGTTCAGATTTAAAAGTGCAAATACCTGGCTGTTTCACAGAATCAAAAGATGGGACAAAGGGAAAAGGAGTTTGACGATGGAACAGACCGGACCACTCATCCTCATTTCTCATCTGCTGTTGCACATCAGATGCCAGCTCCTGCCACGGCTGACTGACTGTCTGGGTGGTGGTGGTTTGAGAGCCAGTCTGCCCAGCCTCAGTGTCCTGCCAGGTTACTGTGACTGTGTGAACAGACTGCCCTTCCTCCCTGGACTCAATGAAAGTCTGCTCAGACTCCCCTCTGGCTGTGAAGAGATGACGAGTTGACGGCAATTATGTAATGGTAGTGCTGTAGAGATGACAGCCACTGTGAAGGCTTCACAGTGCTTCAAGCGTATTTTTGACCAAGCCAGACGCCAGGCACTTGTGCCAGACTATTGTGAGTCCACTAAGCCGAGGTTAGTACAAAGCTGAATGAAAGATGCCTTTCATCCTTCACAACAAGAACAGATGCAAAGGACAAATGAATGCAATTGTGCAACACACAATTTCTGAAAAAGCCAAAAAAAATCTGAAACAGCAGCCTCAAGACTGGCAATGCCTGTGTGTACTTAAGCATGTGAGGAACCTATTTTTCCTTTCAGAGTGACCGGAGATACCCTGGGATCATGCCAGGGAAAGTATAAGGAGGGTGACATTACCCTCGTGCCAGAGTAGGTCAGCATTCTGACAAGTAAACCATCTGTGCCGCAGCTGACAATGTTTTCAAAAGGATTACAGACATGAAAGCAAACAAGCCAGAACGGATGAGCACGTTAGATGATTTGAAAAGGCTGTTTGCAAGCGAGAATAAAATAAATGCTGAAAATATGCCAAAAAGCGCTGGTGCGGCTCCACACAGTTCCTGGTACCTTGGAATTCAGGAGAATGCTGAGGTTTGTCAGATGTCAGCTGCAGCGACAAATCATCAACCTCAGAGCTGGTTGATGCTGAGAGTTGCTGCGGGTACTGGAGAGTTTCATCTCCAGCTGCAAGAGTGAAACAAGTCAGAGAGTAGTTTATCGAACTCGTGCCTTTTATACAATGATTCCAACACGGGTTCACACACATACACATGGACATACCTCCATCTAGGTTACGGGACAGCCTCTTGCTAGCAGAGCGTGTGAAGCGAGGGGCCGGGCGGTCAATCAAGGAGCTGGCCTGGCGGGTCTGGGCCTGAGTACGTCCGCTGTACCGGAACTTGGAGCCCAAGACGAGGAAGCGACGTGATGTGGGGGGCTCTACTGTTGGAACTCTGAGGGACAGAAACATTAATTTATTAATCATCCATCCATCCACCACTAAAGGGTAAGTTCATTATTTTTAAACCTGGACCCTTTACCCTGTGCTTTTGTGTCTAATGGGTGTCTAATGAGAACAACAATTTTTAATTGGTCCTATAATTGAATGAGATTGGTGCAGACGACAGTGGCAAAAAAGGCTGCTATGTATTCATTTGGTGTATGTTTGCACAGTCAGTGTATGTCCACAAAAAGAGCTTGTCTTAGCCACTGACAGACTCAGATTATATATCAAAGTGTCTAACAATTCATGGAAAGGATCCTTACAGAGATAGACCTTTTTGTGTAAGAGTACATTCTTTCTGTTTAACTAGAAACAGCCCTGGCATTGCCATTGCCAAACCCACCAGACTCCATTTAAATAAACAGTGATTTTAGTAGCATAAAATAAACTTCATTTTAAGCAACAGAAACAAATTAAAACTCACAAAAGCCACCTTGTTTCGTCTTTCCACTGTTCCAACAACCACTAACTCTGGTTTGGTTGAAATAAACCCTTAATTTAACCCTTTAGATGTGAAAATATGCTGGCTCTATACGTGCTAAAATCACTGTTTATTCAAATGGAGCCTGGTGGGTTTAGTAGTTGCAACTTCAGGGCTGTTTCTGGTTTAACAAAAAGGATCATACTCTTTAACAAAAAAGTCTATCTCTGTCAGGATCCCGCCAATAAATTGTCAGACACAATCTGAGCCATTCAGCGGCAAAAACAAGCACTTCTAGTGGACGTACATTGGCGGTGCGGACATATCCTGTGTGCTTACATTGCAGCCTGTTTTTTTCAATACTGGATCAATTTCAGAAATTGTTCCCATTAGTCACTTTGACAGGAAAACACTGGGAAAAAGGGTCCAGCTTGAAAAATACCATTTAAATACATCTTACAATTTCATTTCTGTGATGGACCTGCGTATCAGGAGTCTTAGTATAAATTACATAATTTCACATCAAAGGATTTTACATTCCCTGAATATTGTCATCATTATGCAACAAGGTTAGCAACAACTTTGACCTTTATCTTACTAAGTAGACAAAACCTTAGGGGTTTAATTCTAAGGTCAAGACCATGGGTATGTAGCCTTTCCTCAGTGGTTAAACTGCCAGGGAGCCAATATAAGGCTTAAGCTGCAGAGAGCAGTTAGCCAATTATCCAGGGGACAGGCAGAACCTCAGAATGACCTCTGTTGCCGGGCAGGGAAGTGTCATTCAGAATAAGGTGAGAATGACCTGGTCTTACCTGAAGAAGGTATGGTGTTCGACGCAAACTTTCCACAGCTTCTTCGAGGCTTTGTAGTTGGGCAGTTTGAAGCCAATTGTGCTTTCATACTGCTCTTGCTGTAAGAGAGGAAACAAATATTAAAAGTTAAAGTCTATTATAATGACCTTGTGTTGATCACATTATTGTGCCATGCATGCAGCATGAAACATGACATACAAACATGAAACATAGGTCCTGGAGCAGGGTTGAATACACATATTGTCAATTGACAATTTCTTAAATCAAAGCATTGGAAATCTTATTTATAAATTATTTTAAATGCAAGCTATAAAAACGCACTTACAGAAAAGTGTAGCATCAAAACCTGAATTGCAGTTTATATGATTTTGTTTGTATTAAGTGGCCTTGAACAGATTGATCCAGCTGTCAAGTCTATGTGTATAGCTGAAAATTATAAACACTATGTCTCCATTAGCTTTAAACAAACAACAATTCCCAACCAGTTGAAAATAACACAAAACACAACAATGCAATTATAATCCAACAACAATATTATAAATCTAATACTAATGGCACCAATGGCACAAGTACGTAATTAAGGCTCCAGTGTGTCCATAACTAAAATCCAGTTGTTAATCTGTAATAATTTGCTCTTCACAAAATTCCAAGACCATGGTATCAGATAGGTGGAGTAGGATTAAGGAGAAAATAGTTGTGGTTTGCATGTAGGACTGTGACGGTATTGATATACTATGGTTAAAAAGCAATGTATCAAGGCTTGGCGCTTTATCAGAAAAAAAAATGTACGCTTAAATATACGCTTGCAGTCTAAAAAGAATCCCTTCAACAACATGGAAAACAGTCAGCAATGATAACTACACCATAACTATCTAATAATGATTATTGTGTTTGTTATAAATCGTTTCTCACACCATATGGACAATAAGGAGCTCAACCCTGCCATATTGCTGTCATGCAGTTACTATCACAGCCCTGTTTACACGAGGTAGATTGACAAGAAAAGCAATCTGATTCAAATATACAAAATTAATGGAAATTATAAATCCAGATTTACCTCTGATGGCCTGATTTTGATAAAGAAGCTGCTGCGTTTGTAGGAGATCTTGAGCACTTTGGGCCAGGGGAAACGGTTGATCCTCAACTTGTCCTTGTAAACCATCAGACCACTAGAGCAAACACCCAGCGTGATGTCAACACCGTCAAGATCCTGTGTGCACAGAAACGGGATGAAATAGTTATCATATTATTGCATCACAGCACGCCATCACCCTGACCCTGCAGTTACAGTAGACAGTCACTGGGAGGCAGACTTTCTCACACTATAAAGGACATGGAATTTGAGGTCATGGGGTTTGAAATGATATTAATCTCTTCTTTTTTTTCTGACTGGGGGCTGACATCAATTTTGTAATTAAAATCTGGGCACTACTGATGTAACACAAGCATGCTGCTGCAAAATAACGACATGCATGAATGAAAATGTATTTGGTAAATACTTTATGGACATTTTAGAATTCCCATTAAAAAAGCTGCACCATCAATGAAACCACACAACACAAATCTAAACAGTTCACATATTTCAAATTAAAACCTACCTTAGCTTGGTGCAGGTCAACTCCATACATGGCCAGTTTCTTGGCATTTTCCAGAAACAACATGTCGGCCTGGGCTGGACTCATTGACCTGGAAAAACACAGATGATGAGGGTCTTATCCAATATATAATTTACTGTCAGGATTATTTGGAGGACTTGTCAAGTCATCCATTTAGGGAGAGGCCCTTCACAGTTTGTGTTTGCTGAGCTGTGCTTACTCAAACCAACAGGGACAGTTCACACCAACATTAAAAAAATACTTATTTTTCCTCTTAATCCACAGACCTTGTTGTGAGCTGTCTCATGTAGGAACGATTTTCTTTCTACCAAACTACACCTGCCAAGCATTCAACTGCACAGAAGGAAGGTATAGACTGCTAGCTTACCTAGCATCGCTGAGCTATCTTACACTACTGTCCAACTGGAGAGGGATGCCATGAATGTTTACATCTTGTACTGTCACAATCCTCTTGTCTGTTAGTAAAACATGCTTCCTTCTATGCGGTGATACGATTGGCGGGTGTAAGTGTAGTAGACATAAGAGACATTGCTGTTTTCAAATGTATTTTTTTAGTGCCATCTAGTTCCATTATATTCAAGAGAGGGCAGACATCTCTGTGGCTGATATCACCAACGCTCGTCAGCTCACACCAAAACAATCCAGACTGATGAATAGCACTAATGGTAAGAGTAAAGATTAAGATTTGGTGGAAACTATTCCTTTAATGAAAGCTACATTTTAACTTAAGACTACCATCACTATTTTACTCAATCAATGCCCATCCCCTTTGATTACCTGTATGTGCGATGCAGCTCCATCACCTTCTCCTCCAGCTCTTTGCTCTGTCCCGGGGCCAAGCTCAGATCCTTAACATAATCTGGTCCATGAAGCTCTGGGTCATACTCTCCCAGCTCTGACTGGGCTGTGTAGGAGCCCAGCAGGGACAGTGTGACAAAGGAACAGGGAAGAACACCACGCATAATGTCCTTCCTCAGCTGGAGGCACAGGAAGTACCTGAAGAAGACGTGAAGGGAAAAAATAAGCTCACTTATGCAGACGATAAAACTTTGTTCTGCTTTAAATTAAAGATAATACAAGATTTTACTGTAGTGACGACATTTCTGGAAATACACGCTTGAGAGTTAGCTGAGAATTCCAAATATGAAGCTAAAGCTGACAGTTTAGCTTAGTGAGAAAAAGGCTACTTGACTCTGTCCATAGTTTAAAAAAATAACCTACCAGCTAGGGATGGGAATTATCAATTCTGCTTACTGGTCCAATTCTTTATCTTTATCTTATTGTTTCCTGATCAATTTACTTTATGGAAAAAAAGTAGGCCTACAGAAGTTTTCAGCGTGAGTGCAACTGTTGTATTACCTCTGAGTCTGACCATAGTGCAGATGAAATGAGAGAATATCTGTAAAGCATTCATTTTTATCTAGTTTTTTTTTTTTTTTTAAAAAAAAAATCTGCTAAGCCTGCCTGCATGGTGTTAATGTTATTATAATAGGATAACTCAGAAACAGACATGCTGCTCATTTCTGAGGCAGTGGCAAAGTGTTTCAAATATGTGGTATTCCTGGTATTAAAGCCTGTTGTGTAGAAAGATGTTATGGCATACTGCTGGTCTTTTCAACCTTAGCTGAAATGATCATTTTACACACATTACAAGCAGCATTATTATCACGGTTCTTCAAAAAATGAAACCACGCTTTGCGCTGTTTCTTTATCTCCTCCATGACTTTTAGTTGTAAGTTTTCGGCACCATAGACATCAGTTTGACATCACACAATTCCAATAGATCGGACTAATTCGACCTGGTTCTGTTACTCAATTCCCACCCCTACAACCAGCACCTCTATAGTTCTCTAAATAACATGCCATATCTAAATGAAAAAGCAGATTGCCCCAAATGTCGAGCTATTGGAGACATTCACCTGGTGAGGTCTTCAGTGAGCTGTGCTGGATCAGGAGGGTAGAACTTCACGTTGAATGTAAACTCATACACAGCACCTGACACCTGTTTCCGGATCTCTTTGGTGGATTCCAACCATGTCTGCGCAAAATGAGAAAAATAAAACAAATTACCTACTGCTCACAGCTAATTTCAGCACCATTTAAAGTATCTGGTTATGCTTTTGCAGAGTAACTGGAGCTACAGGAGCAGAAAAAGCAGCCTACCTTGTTGGTTGGGCTTTCCCAGGTAGCGAGGCCAAAGTAATCTCTCTCCAGCAGGTTGACATGGTCAAACACCTTTGTAAGAAGTTCTTGGGCTTTAGCATGTTTCTAGAGACAGAGGGAGACACAAACAGACAGTGGGATATTAGCGAGTCTTCATGATCATGAGTTTTACAACAGCGATAGCCACTGCACAAACACAAGACACCATACTGTAAATGTGGGAGGTCTCTTACGTCAAGCTCACACTCAAACTGAGTGTCGTCGAGTAAGGTGACTTTGCATTGCATGGTTTTCTGACGTTTGGAGCCTTTAGCCTCTTCTGTCTTCTTTTCAGTCTTCTTTTCTTTTACAGGCTTCTCCTTCTTCGCCTCTTTCTTTGCCTCCTTCTTCGTCTCCTCCTTTGCCTTCTCCTCTCCTTTGTGTTCCTTCTCTTGTTCTGCTGGTTCTTCCTCTTTTTTCTCCGTGTCCTCCTTCTTCACCTCCTCCACAACTTCTGCGGGCTCCTTCGTTATCGCAGCTTCGCCCTTGTGTTCCTCTTGAGCCTGCTGGGAGAGACAGCACAAGTATGTCAGATACAGATGAAAAGAACGTAGGAGGACTCTGTGGTTTTTTTCTTTTCTTTTTAAACAATGACAGCGCTATAATTAATACAACTACAGATCGTAGTTAGCAGCAAATACACGGCTGTTGATACTAACTGTAGGCAGATTAGAGTTACATTTAAGACTTTTTTAATGCCACTAAGATTGAAATTCAAGACCAATTTTACAATAACCAAAACTGAAGAAAAAAAACCCCACTGAAAACAACTACATGGAGTAAAAGATAATTTTGCCCAAATGTTAATTGTAACATAAAACATGACTTTTTTGGTCCAGTGAGGAGGTCATGTGATCTCTCTTAAATGTATGAAAACATAACACGAGAGTGGAACACATGGTGGAGACAAGGGTAGAACACAACGTTTCTCACAGGTTGTCTTGGCGTGTTTCTCAGTTTAATTGTAGGCTCCACTGCCTTCGTTCCCATCGTGCCGAGTTCAAAAAATGTTGTACGTTAAATATACTGAGCCCCATATGCGTCGCCTTGTACTGGTTTCAGCCATCATGCTGCAAAATCTTGGTTGAATTTTTGTTAAATTCTCACTCCCCTCATGCCGTCCAGGGTATAGTGACAACTAGCTAGAAAACAGTGAATCTTCTGCTTTAAGCATCCTGGCAGCAAACAAAATATGAGTGTTGTTGTACTATCCTGATCTATGTGTTGTTACTGTGAGAGGCATTTAGTAGTTTTTTTTTATTTTTAATATCTGTTACAAATAATTTCGTGATTTTACAATCCAACGCCAGAAAAAACAACTCATAAAATCCTACTTTCCATGTCTGGGCATTTTTAAGACTGATATAGAACACTGTCACACCAATTAAGGCCTTATTTTTAGATTAATGAGTTAAATTCCTTTTAGAATTTATTAAGCATCAGCAGGAGCCCTGTGTAGTGTCAGAGCAGCATGGATCAGTTTTGTTTCAGAGCAAGCTTTCAGATCCAACCAGCACAGTTACTTTTGCTGAACAAGCTGTCCACATCATAAAATATTCATGACAAAGAAAAAAACATGTGTTCCTCTACTACAATCCAATCTGCTGCAGGATTTTGTATATATGAGAGCTCTGTCCTCTTCTCAAGTCACACACTCATGATTAAAGAAAAAGTTTTGGGAAATGCAATTATTCTTCATCACATAAGTGACATGAGACGATCGATACTACTCCCATATCTGTCCATTAAATATGATGCTGCAGCCAGCAGCGGTTAGCTTAGCATAAAAACTGGGGGCAGGTGAAAACAGCTAGCCCGGCTGTGTCCTCGCTGCCTACCTGCACCTCGGAAGCTCGCTAATTGCTTTAACATGCTTTATCTCCTTTGTTTAATCAGCACAAAACCAAAGTGTAAAACGACGGGGGGTGAATGAATGTGCGTGACTATTTCTTGGCCTGGGACAGCAACCTCTTGGAATCTTGTTACCACAGTGGCAACCAGAGGAGACTCTCAGAAGTTGGTGAACCCGACCAATAAACAGTCTGGCACATGAGGTACCTGTGAAACCAGAACGTGTCATTTTTACACTTTGGATTTTGTTCAGATTTAACAGACAAGATAAACTGTTAATTGTTGAACTTTACAGATGCTGGTAGGTGGATTTTGTCACCTTTGGACTGTTTCTCCCTGTTTCCAGTCTTTGTGCTAAGCTAACGGGTTGCTGGTTGTAGCTGTATTTAAAGGACAGACTTCTCACCTCGCTCCCTACCAACAAAGTGAATAAGCTGTGTTATGGTGTAATATTTGTCAGTGTCACGCTCACCTGTGTCTCTCCGCTGCTTATCGAGTGCTGATCAGGAGCCTGCTCAGTGTCTGGCTCCGTTTTAAGCTCAGGCTCTGGAGCTGCAATCGGTGCTTTCACCTGCTCCTCACTTGGCCCTTTCGCCTCCTTCTCCTCCTTCTTTCCTTTGTTCTTCCCCTTCTCTTTTTTCTTCCCCTCCTCTTCCTTCTTTTGCTTCTCGTCCACCTTTTCCTCCTCCTTCTTCTTCACCTCCTCTTTCGCCTTGTCGTCTTCTTTCTTTTTTGGCTCCTCTTTTGGTTTCTCCTCTTCTTTCTTTTTTGCCTTCTCGTCTTTTGTTTTCTCCTCCTCCTTCTTCTTGTTCTTCTCCTCTTCTTTCTTTTTTAGTTTTTCGGCCTCTCTCGCCTTCTCTTCTTGTTTCTTCTTTGCTTTCTCTTCTTCTCTCTTCTTGGCCCTTTCTTCTTCCTCTGCTTTCCTCTTTGCCTTTTCCTCCTCCTTCTTCTTCACCTTGTCCTCCTTTTCTCTTTTCTTTGCAACCTTCTTGTCAACCTTTTCCTCCTCTTTACCCTCTTTCTTTTCGGCTTCCGCCCCCTTGTCTTTCACTTCAGCAGTCTCCTTCTTTTCTTCTTCTTTTGTCTCCAATTTTTCCTCCTTCTTTTCTACAGTCTTCTGTGCTTTCTCCTCCTCCTTTGGCTCCTCTTTTTTTTTCACCTGCTCCTCTTCCTTTTTCTCCTCGTCGCTTTTCACTTTCTCCTCATCCTTCTTCTCTCCTTTCTTCTTGGCGTCTTTCTTTTTCTTTTTACTGCCCCTCTTCTCAACCTTTTCTTCCTCCTTTTCTTTCTCCTGTTTTTGTTCTTTCTCTTCCTCCTTTTTCACTTCTTTTACCTCTGGTTTAGCCTGCTCTTCTTCACTTTTCACCTCTTCCTGCTTCTCCTCTTCTGCCTTGTCAGCTTTTTCTTCTTTGTCAGCCTTCTCCTCCTTGGCTTTCTCTGCCTCAAACCCCTCTCCCTCGGAGCACTGTGAGCGGCGTTTGAGGAAAGAGGAGAAGAGGCGAGAAAGGCCTTTGCCAGCAGAGGTTCGGGTACGAGGCTTTAGCTGCTCCTCCTCAGGGGAGGTAGCTACGTCAGCAGGCCCAGGCTCAGAGGCCTGCTCCTGGGCCTTCTTGCTCGACTGCTCCCCCTCCGGCTCAGACGCAGCCGCCTCTGGCTTCTGCTTGTCCTCCGGTTCGGGTTCGGGCTCGGCGCTGCTGGCCTTCTGCTTGCCCTCTTTGTCCGCCTCGCTCACTGCGCTTGCCTCTGTTGTCATGGTAGCCACTGGGAAGGAGAACAAGGAGAGTCAGAGATGGAGAAAGGTCACGGTGGTGTACAGAGTGTGACACTCCACAGCATGGCTATACTTGGAACACAACAAACAAGATTAGGAGCAGTGGACTATTAGCCTGTGTGTAGGAAACATTACATTACATTACACTCTGCTGTGAATGGTGAGCAAACTGAACACATGGCAGCCCTGGGCAATATATATATATAATTATTATATCGACATTTTGATATTAGAGTAGATATTGTCTTTTGGATATCGTAATATTTTAAGTGTTGTCTTTTCCTGGATTTAAAATTTGCTTTACAGTAAAGTGATGTAATATTCTGAAGTTACCAGGCTGTTTTAGCAGAAACAATTATTGAATTAATTGTTTGACAAAAATCAGAATCTAATCAAAAATAAAATAAAATAAAAAAAAAATAATAATAATTGTGACTGATGGTCTTTTTTCAATTTTCTGGCATTTTATAGGTCAAACAATTAATAGATTCTGATTAAAAGAATGATCAGAATAACCGATATTAAAAATAATAATTATTAGCTCAAAAACAAACGCACACAAAAAAGATTTTGGTGTGTTATATCCCAAATGATATGACCAGGATAGGCATGGTAAAGGTGTAAAAGAAAAAAAAAAACCCTATCATGCAAATAGGGTTATCAGTATGCATGCTCCATTATTCTCACTTATAGCTGATGGTCTTATCAAGAGCAATTTACCATGTTCAAACAATAAGTAATTTAAATAGCCACTTTAAGTTATTGTTATTTGCATGAATGAGACTTATTCCATAAAACATGAAGGCAACTGCCACCCACAGATTAGACTCCAGCTCAAACACACATGCTTACACACACATACACAAACACCACTTCACCACACAATAGCCTTCCTTGTTGAAGAGTGTCTGTGTGTCTGCATGGAGTTCTGTGGGCGAGCTCACAACGCTGCCTATCGCAGACTCATTAAATCTCATTGACACAAAGGAGGCATTCTGCTCGGGAGCTACATATGAGCACCGCTTGGATCATCCTCCTCGCCAAGCATGCCTGGCTCTCCATTTCACACACACCCTCCCTCCCACCCACCCTGCACAGGTCATCTGAGGCAGTAAATGGTCAATCAATCGGGCAGTGCTGTAAATCAATGAGCAGGACTGCTTTATCAGTATCTGCCTTGAAAATACTGTAGATAGAAGCAAAAATGTTACCTCCTGTCCTTTTCAACCTGATTGTACAGTAACTATAGAAGATACCACGACTGTTATATAATATTTAACACAGCAAGGTTGGGATGTGCGTGATTAGTCAACTAGTTGGTTAAATGTTGCCACCCTCGCTAGTCAGCTGGTCAGTTGAAATAATTAATAATATTAATTTTTCTTCACTGACTTATTTCGTTTTTTACGATAGACAGGCTGTTTGCTATGTGAGATCGTTAACTCAATGAGTGTAATTTCATGGCCATGAATTACACATCTATGAGGCCCTATTATAATCAAATTCAGGATATGGGTTTTTACGTGAGAACAGAGAGACGGAGTTGCTCACATTCCTCATATAATTCCTGGTTTCTTTCAGAGTACTCCAGCTAGCATATTCGGGTTTCTCATAAATGGAATATAATGTTTATATGCTCAAATACATAAAAAAGACACTCCAAAAACCCAATTATAAACAGGTTATTCATGTCCATGTAAAATCACCCAATGAAAATGCCATTGTAATGATCAAGCATGTTTCCTAAATATTCATTTTCCTAAATAATTTTTATTCAATAAATGTTATTCTCAAACTTATAATAACTTATAATGTGCAATATTCCTAATAAACGGTGCAAAGAGCTACACATTTCATCGCATTTAAAACACAATTTGGGACTTGAAACATGTGATTAACGATTTCAAAAGGCTCTAATAATCAACACAATCTTTTTTCAGATAATGTTTTATCTTATAGATAAAATTACGTTCAACTTTGACCATTTCCTAAGTTTTCTTACTTTTACACTAGTCGACTAGTTTAAGTTTAAACTTTTGTCTAAACGTCATTTGCTGTTGAGAACATCCCTAGTACATGCACACTTGCCTATGCATGATGTGATTCATAGTCACAGCACAAGGTCCCTGGAGTTTAATGCACATGACTTTGATTCACTAGTTTGGCAGCAGGAGGACAGATCTGGTATAATTAGAAACTTCTAACCAGCTGATTGAATCACACAACTGACTGAAATACACTGCAGGTATTATGCAATCACGCTACCCCTCTCCTAAGTGAGACATATCAGACAGTTACACAGGCTTGCATCACAATCGATGTTTGTCTTCAATGAGACTGATTCACATCCTGTCTGTACCAGGCATTGTCTAATTGCTGACCGATGCAGCTGTGTTTGTCTTTTCCATATGTAGTTCAAGTCGCACCCTGCCTCGTATGGAGTGGGGGGAGGGGGAATGCTAGACAGGCAGACCGGCAGGCAGCCCAATCTTCCAGATGTACAGGGCTGTCCCAAAGGCTGCAGCCTGGCCCTCTATACCATACACTTCCCACTGGCACTACAGGACAGCAGGAGGGGAGGAGGGGGTACGCACACAGACCAAATCCTCTTTAGCCCTCCCATTGTTTGTGTCCAGTGACCAATAACTGTGCTGCACACTATAACTAATCCTGCCAACCCTTCCCCCCACAAGACCCCCCATAGGCCTATTCCCTAGGTCACCACACACAAACACACACACTCACATACGCACACACCGGTATGCATCAATGCTCACTGGCTCCTCTGGGTCTTTTAATGCTCTGTCATCTCAATTGTGATTGTCAGGACACAGACATGCTCCTAATGGACCAGCTGAGCTTGTGTCTGCTGCCTCCTCCATTTTGTGTTGCCTATCTAACATCTCTGCTATCAGCCAGCTGAGCAGGACTAACCTGCATCATGACCAATTGAGATAGCGGCAGCCATACCGCGGGATCTCTAAAAAGCAGCATCAATCTCTCATAATATGAGGCAGATTTCTTTTATGGTGTGGGTGAAATATTGCTGTACTGTAGAAGAAAAAAGTCTGCCCTCAATCCTACATAATTAGTGCCTCTAATGAGCTAAATTATAGATGAAGTAGGCCACCCTCCAGCAAGAGAGAGCTCTCAAAGAGCTGCTGGATCAGGTGCAAATGCCAGGGATGGAGTTCAATCAGGATTTGATTTAGAGTTTCTGTGACTCTGAATTGAGTTTAATGCTCCCACAGGATGATGATGTGAGATTTGATTGGACTCGGTGAATTTTACTTAACGTTAAAGTCACATTTTACTTGACCTTAGGATATTTAAGGGGAGGAAATGGCTTGCATTTTGTGGAAATTCATTACTCCCCATGCTTAAACAGTGTGAGCTCCAATTTTATTAATAGTCCTAATTAAAATTATGCAAAACAGTTTGAATCGATGCTAACCAGATGATTTAACTGCGACTGCTAATTGGTGATTACTCCAAGTCTCCAGTTTAATAAGACATTTTCCAGAATTTGTGGATATGTGGTATTATTTGTCAGTGATGCTGCAGTGCTGCTGCTGTGTGCTGCGTGTTACTGTGTGTGTGTGTGTGTGTGTGTGTGTGTGATGAAACAAGACAAGAGGGCTGAATGGGGAAGAGCTTGCAGATGAGGAGGTGGAGGTATAGTATATAAATAGCTACATGTGCTCAGGATGCAGGGACTCATTAGCCTTTACAGACAAGCTCATATCTATTTCTGTTCACAGTGTACACGCATATGCACATGTGCATACATGCATGCACTGTCGCAAATGCACACGCAACTACATATAACATTGTCTTTGAGACTGAGGAGAAAGATTTTGTTTGTTTTGAGTGAATTCGCCAAACACTGGTCACTGATTGACGAAACATGAGCTGTACAGTAACATTACACTGTAGGAATACTAGGACAAAAAGAAAGCATGTTTCCTGGGTACTGAGAGTAGGCTTAAGGAATTAGAAGGAGTTTAGAGTTAATCATCCCCCAAGTGACCAAGTGAGATTATCTCCATCTATCTACCTGCCTACAGTATCTATCTCGCTCAGTATCAAACTATCCCCCTCCACTCTGATTCTCTGTCTCTCTCTCGACTGTCTCTGTGGTCTGCCTCTCTGGGTGTGCGTGCATCTGAGTGTGTGGGAGAGAGGGAAGAGCTGGCAGAAGCACAGTGGCGATCAGCTGTGCTGATTCATGGTTTTATGTGGGGCCCCGCCTACCTGGCTGAAAATCAACAGAAATGAACTGAAAGCCAAGATATCAGTCCTCTGGCCACATGGTGGCTCCTATTAACCTCTGCAAGTAAACACAGGCACACATGCCAACATACACGCTAACACGTGCCGGGATAAACTGTTCATATGTTCAGATCATGCAAACCTGCCCAGCAACATCATGAATACACACAGAAATATCTTTAAGTCACTGTAGCATACACATGTACTTTTATTAAATGATAGTGCTTTCAAGAGAACAGAGAGACATATGTAGAGTGACAAAAAATGTGCTCAAACTTTGAATGAAGCGCTGTAATCATGGATTCTGAGACACCACATCTCCTGTGTGTGCTGGGTGATCCTCAACAAAAAGGTAATGAGCTACAAAAAGGTTTATTTTAGTCAAGTCCTCTGTGTAAACCTATCCCGAACCCAACTCTTCACTGATCAATACACACAGATGGTCTGTCAACCTGATGCTGTAACATGAACCGACATGGGAAAAGAATGAAGTGGCTTGATTGATTTACTGCGGTTGCCCTGAAAGCAATTCTGAATCCATCTCCAACATCGCTTCAGCCAAAGCCCACTGAAGGAACAGCAGATGTGTACATTAATGCACATTATGAGGAAAGTGTTCTTTTGTATGTTCGACACACACAAAATCCAGATCAGTGTCTTTGGAGCAGAAAATATTAAAGGATTTAAAATAAGTACTGTCCTGTAAACTTAATGTATTATATTCCAATGAAGTAATCCTGCAATTTTATTGCAATGTGATTTTAGAAGAATTTTGTAAATATTATATTCACTTTAACACGTTCTTTAAGCTAAGCAAACTGACTCCCTCATTCATGAGGAGAAGAGCAAATGACTCTGTACTGTATGTGGAGTCTGTTCCCTGTTCGGTAATGCACACACAACAGAGTAGTAGTCTAACTGCACGAATGCATCATAACTCCCAAAAGAGGATTAACACCAGCAAGCTCTTCTGGGACCTCGGTGACCTCGCTCTCGCACAGCAGAGCCGAAAACATCCTTCAGCATCACTTCAGCAGCTCTGTGTTCACAACACTGCTGATTCAGCAGGGCAGTGGACCCCTGGCACCCGGGTCTTATCTCTGCCGTTTTTTAACCTCTGTGTTTACCACTGTTGCACTTGCCAGTGCTCCCGCATTAGTGCTGCCTCTGTCTTTCCCCTCATCCTCCCTACGTCATATCTGCAGCGCTTCATAAAAGATTATCTGACTATATATATCCAGCGGTATCATCAATGGAGATGAGGCTTATTGGATGAGTTTCTCTTAAGTGTATAGGCGTGTACATACACACACACACACACACACACACACATTAACATATGCCACCCTCCAGCGAAGATGGATATTTTTAACCCATACCCTCCTCTTGGGGTAAAAGCAAGTCATGTGAAGCGGAAATCCAAAAGCAAAGCCATCTCTGAAAACAGCGTGAAAAAACAACAACAACTGAGGAGACACGTTCTTGGAAAATAGCTGTAACACACCTCACAGAGGAGTCTGACATGAAGTACATCATGTGGTACAATAACTGCTTAACATATGAATGAGTTAGGGGATGAAATATGGCAATCACTTCATCTTTAGGCAGTTAATTTCTCCTATACATCATATATTATCACCTAATGTTACATTATCACTGATTTTCAGATATTTATATTGTACAGAACATATCTGTTTTTCCTATTTAGTCATCATTTATTAACACGATTCATTAGAAATTTTGGTAGTTTATAATATAGCCTGACACACACATATTTAATACATAAATAAACAATTTAGTTTAGTGTGAGTTTCCTTTAACACACAAGCTGTGCGCCCTCTTTTAGCACCCTCATGCCCATTCATTTTTACAAAAACAACTGGCACATGCAGAGAAAACACATCGCAGCCTCCGCTGATACGGAGCACTTGTTATTTATGGGGATGTTGTAAGACAGCTACTGGGCTATTTTAATTGCGCGATGTACGGGCTATATAATTTAAATCGCTTCAACAAACCATGGTTTAAACATCGCATATTACCACAGCCTTACACGACTTCAATTTCCAACTTTTTCCCAGTGAAAGCGCACAAACAGTTGCGTGCCGTATCGGGCCAAAGTGCCAGGGTATTTAAACAATCTGTGTATGAAAATGGCGCCGAATGTACAACAAAACAAATAAACACTAACTCATCCCCACCGCCCGAGCAGCTTGAATGTTAAATTTGGGCTTACCTACTCTTGGATTAGCATCGATGGGAAAGCAAACAGCACAAAATCCGACAAAATCCTATATTCCGCACGTTCAGAGGAGAAACAATGTTGCGAAGCGACACATGCTTTGTTGTGCTGAAGGTGTCCGATGCTCGTAAAGGGGTGGAGTCTCGCACTGAGGCTTGGACTTGAGTTGACCAACTGAGCACCAAGCCGCACGCCTCACAACCGCATGCCGAGGTGGAGGAGATGGACGCAAGTTTCATATTCTACTTGCTTCATATAAGGCTGTGGTAAAGTGTGAGGATGCTGCAGCAGTGTAACACTAAAATAAGTGTTTAAATCTGCATATATTTACTTGTATCTTTAAAATAATGTCTTTGCATTCTCAACCCATCACTATGTTGGCACAACAAATTAAGCCTTCATCCAAAAATCCCAAACAGCCGAGCCAAAGGGTGCAATCATTAACACAGTACAACGTCCAGAAACAGGAGGGAAGCAGAGAGGCAACAGGACCACTCCTCAGAGTCCTGCCCAGTCTATTCAGGCACCAACGTGGTGCATTCATGTGCACAGTGTGAGGCTGTCAGGACTACAGCCCTCACACAAATGGTGAGGTATTAACAGAGGGATGGTTTCAAATTCAGTGTGAAAAGCTGCAATGTCCAACACCAGACCCACCATCAGCTTCACCTTCCACCTTGTGTACAAAATTCAAAAACAAACCAGCACACACATGTGCATCCGCTCATGTGTACACACATACACACTAACTCTTTATGGACTCCGGCATGGTCCCCACCCATCTGCCTGACCCCATTAGGGCCATACGGCTCATAGGCAAAAAGGGGGGAAGTAAAGAGGTTCATTATTCTCACAGCTACCCGGGGTAAGCCACCATCACCTTTGTCTCACAGAGGCAACTTCGTGTGGCATGCACAGCACCGTCACATCATTTCTGGGCAATTTGTTTAAAAATTTAAAAGTCTTACCAAATCTGTAAATCTTGTCATGAAGTCCAAAAGAGGTAGCAAGACGCAAGGGACAAGAGGTCTCTCTTGCACGGTAACAGTCGTGTTTCCTTCTTTAGACTTTGATCACTGACACAGTGATGACACACAAGCAGTACAAAAACCAGTGGTGTTAAACATTAACCTTAGCACGGCGCATTAACTGGGACAATCCAATGAATCCGAGCTGGGTTCAAACAGAAAGCGAGTACTTTTGGATGCAGCTCATTTGTGTTTCCACTGCTTGAGTTTGGGATGGAGTGAGGAAGTCAGAGAGGAAACAGAAAAAGAGCGAGGTAGAGAAACAAAGACTGCATGAACTACTCGCGTTGCCTTCAGTTGCTTAGGAACCCCTGCCCTGCCCTGTGCCTACTGCAAGGAGCAGGTGTTGAGCTGGACCCAGGAGAGGGAGGAGAGACACAACGGAGAGGGGAGGAGAAGAGGAGCAGCACTCACAGACCCACAGTCCCTCGAGACAGTGACAGACTGGAACCACAGACTCTGAGACGACACACTCGCACAGTGGACACACCCAAATACACTGACGCACACTTTCTGTCCCCCCCCACCCCCCCTTCACTCTTCCTCATTTGTTCAAAAGCACGGGCAGACACGCACATGCGATGGAGCAGTGCATTACTCCAGCTGAGTGCATGGGAGGTTATGTTTGTTTGGAACATCTTTATCCCTCTCTGGCTCCATCACTCAGTGATTACATAATGTCCCATACCCCTTCCACTGTATTCATCTCTCGTTGACTTTTAATACTGCATCTGGGTAAGCATCTCACTCACACACACACACACACACACACACACGCACACAGCACTTCCTTCCCTCCCGTATCTTATGTAAAACAACTTGTGCAGCTTTGAAATTGCTTTAAATATGAATTCTGAGTGCATGTGATGGAGGCATGGTTGCAGGGGTTTTATTTGTGCTCTGGATCTGAGCTCTCAAGAGCACTAACGGGATTGATGGTAACAGCGCATCAATATTCATAGTGCACCATTATGTTATGAAGAATTCATGAACCAGGAATGTTCCGTGTTCCTGCTCCTTCCCGCCGGCAGACATGTTGCCCAGCCTCCTTGTTTTGGGCCAAGTTGCAGTTCTCACCTTCATGCACACTTCAGGGAATCTACATTTCACAACATGTTTGCTTCTTCCTGACTCTTCAAAGAGAACAGTCAAAACATTATATTGTAGATTAAGTCTATCCAGTGCTACTACAGAGAATAGGGCAGGACAACTATCCAAAAAATATGAGCCATGGATTTTCTGCAGCTACTGAAACTGCCATAAATATTTGCATCCAGGGACAATGCAAAGCGATAAGTCAGACTGGAAAGGAAACGCTTATATTAATATGCATGTGCCTGGATGTCATCGGAGATCTCTTAAAAAGACACTCGCACCAGGCCCTGAGGCTCAGAGTGCGCTGAACAGATTGTGGCGGACATTCTAGGCCACCTAAGTACATGTTACATTGTGTTTGATCATCTCATGCGACTGTACAATGGCCATGTTTTCTTAGTTTACACTGCCCCCTGGTGGAGAGACGGAAACTTTTCACAAGTATGTTGCTGACCTGGCTCAACAGAGACTAGTCTGCAAAAAAAAAAAAAATATAAAACAAAAGAAAAACTGGCTAAATGTTAATTTCTTTAAAATCCTTTGCATGTATTAAAATTGCACTGTAATTAAAATTCTTACATCTCCTCTACACTGACACTTTGCTGATACACAGTGCAATCTGGGTGCATATATGAGTACTTTGAGTCTGAAAATAAAAACACATCATGGTGAAAGATTAAATTACTAGTTAAACATTAATTATTTGTTGTGCGTGTGAGAGGGAATCCCCGCCAATACTACTCTATGTTAACAGAGTGCTGTAAGGCCTACTGGGAGCATGTGTTTACGAGAGATAAAGACGTGTTTGCGTCCAGATGCCTCAGGGTGACACTGTCAGACTACCCCTCCCAAAACTAGTTTGGTGTGGGGCATCAGCAGGTCAGCGACAGCAGTGTGCCATAATTTCAGCTACTATTCCCTATTTTCCAGATCTGTTTGATGCCGAACATTAAAAAGGCTGTCGTGCATTTTTATGACTCATTTATAAAATAATGATAATAAAATAAAGTACTAGCTTTTTCTGGGATATGGAGAGATAGTCATGGGTGAGAAATAGTGGTCACTTCTCCTACGCAAGCAAACAGAAAATCATGGTAGAAAAAAAACTGAACCAAGGAGTGCATTTAAAAGATAAAGAGGCAGTCTGCACTCAGATCCCAGGAGGAACAACACGTCAGATAATAATAATCAAGAATTAATATTTATTAGGTTCTATAAAGACTGATGGCTTCATAGAATGGTTGCATAAATATAAATGAAATGTGCCTTGCGGCTTCAGCTGAGAGCAGGACTGTTTAATTATAATTATAAGTCATATTCTAGAAAATTGAGGGGGGCTCATTTAAATATATATTTGATGAGGTAAAATCATTCTTATTGTGAGCGTAGTGGGTGCAAAACATCACTGCAGTAGCCTACAAACAAGCCTGATATGCAATGGGATCATTACTAAAACAGCTCCTTTGTTACACTTGCACTAGGGCTGCAACGATTACGACTAATCGATGACAAATCAACTATTAAAATAATCAGTGACTATTTTAGTAGTCGACTAAACGGTTTGAGTCATCTTTCATAGTAGCCCAAAATGCTCTTATTGCAGCTTCTTATGTTCAAATATTGTCAGCTTTACACACTCTCCCACGACGGTGAACTAAAACCCTTTGGTGTGAGTACAAAACAAGACATTAGATGACATAATTTTGGGGTTTGGGAGAGACAGGCCAACATTTTTCAACATTTTAACACATTTTTCGATAAAATGATGAGTCGACTAATCGAAGAAATAATCGTCAGATTAGTCGACAATGAAAATAATCGTTAGTTGCAGCCCTATTGTGCACTTTTTGCAAACAAATTAAAAAGTAATTGTTACTCACATACATGCAGGAGGTCATCGTAGATGGCAAGGACAATCCCAGACCAGGTCAGAGAGACGGAGAGAGGGAAAAGAGTGTGTCAATTCATGAAAATACAAAACTTATGTACAATAGTTTATACAATTATCTCAAATAAATGACAGAACATAATCAATGGGATGTAAAGTGCTCAGGTGAACCTCTATTTTGCATAATAAATCAGGCTACCTAATAAAAAAATGCACACACAGCTGATGGGCCAGAATATGAACACTAATAGCGTTTAAAAGTGTAGCATGTAGTGCTAGCATCCTTTGATAAGAGGTAGCTAACCATGTTATAGTTGACCTTTATCAGATGCTAAAGTCAAAAATAACTTAGGTTTCCCTCTAAATTTCTACGTCTGTTATCAGCATAATAAACATACCAATATAGTTGACATAGGATAACCTACCTGTTTAGCTTTGACTGTTGTGTTGTTTATGATAAATAAGCTAGGTATGCTTTATAAAGTATTTAAAGGCCCATTGTCTCTGGGTAAGTGAAGGCAACATCTTAAGAAACCTCTGGAGGACATTTATGACTATTATAATCATAAACTCGACAGACTACAGTAGCTAGGTGTCCTGTTTGTTATTCCCCAGATAGGCTAGCAGCACAAACATGCCTGACCTCGTCGTGTTTGACTTAATCCCTCTAAATACAGAGCGGTGAACTCTCCACGAACCGCCGCCGCCGCCGTCGCGAGGAGACGGGAAATGAAGAAGGTCGCGGGACAAGGTGTGTTAATGTAAATAGGACAGCAGCAGCGTGTGAGCGGGCCGAGTCATACCTGAGCACACCGGTGTCTCCTCCTGCCTGTTTCCTCCACCGTCACTTTGTTGCCATAATTCCGGTGTTTCCTCTCGGAACAAGTTGGAGACTATCGGTTAGGTTTCCACGGAGAGGCGGTGTCGCAGTTACAATGACGAAGCACTAAGTAGTGATGGGTGGAGATCAGAGGTGGGTGCGTTACTAAAAAACTAGAGGTGGACGGAGTGAAGAAGCAAATACTGTGTTACACGTTAAAGTCCAGCATTCAGACATTAACTGTAGTAGTTAGAAAGTGTCAGTAGCATCACAATGTATTTACAGTAGGCGT